TAACCGGAGATGAAACATGGATATATTTCTTTACGGTTTCAAGTAAGGAAGCAAATAAGGTTTGGATAGAAAAGGGGGAGAACAGACCGCAAATTGTGAGAACGGCGCAAAATTCGAAAAAGAGAATGTTTTGTATATTTAATACCGTAGATGGGGTTATAGCACGAATCGTTGTGAAAAAAGGGCATACAGTTACTGGCAAGCTTTATGCAGATAATATACTGCCAGAAGTTTTTTCAAACTTTATGGAAAAAAGGGGAAGAACGACTGTACGGGATGTCATGATACTGCTGCGCCACATAAGTCAGCAGTTGTAACGGAATAGCTTCGAAAGGAACGAATAAAACTTCTTCCCCATCCTCCATACAGTCCAGACCTTACTCCTTGTGATTTTTTCTTATTCCCTCGAATCAAGAAAGAACTAAAGGGAAAAAGTTTTAATAAGGTTGAAAGTTTGGCACGGGCCGTTCAGGCAGTCGTTGAAACCATCCCAAAAGCTGACTATGAGAAATCTTTCCAGAATTGGCAGAATCGTCTGCAACGTTGCATAGATGTTAATGGAGAGTACTTTGAGGGAATGGAATAGTTAGATCGATAGTTATTATGTAACTTTCAGAAATAAAGAATCAACGACAAAACTTTTCAGCATCCCCACGTAGATTCGATAAGATCAGACTTTTATAGTAACCCTATCTAATATTCTCGGGATGTTAAAGAGTATGTTTTAACATATTAGATTGTAAACTTGGACGCTTTAATAACGTCTTCACAATCAAACAAAAACTTGGGCCGTTATGTGGATTATTGAATCCAGCGTATACTGAAACTAACACGCCTGGTGAGCATCAGTCTTTATAGAATCGATACCCGTCTTAGTAATAATAAACATGTTCTATCTTACATGTAAACCGTTCTGTGAATTCCATATTAATGTGTGGAAGGAAAGGGTAAAACTATCGTATGACTATCAATAATTTATCAAGTAAACGTTACAAAGTCTAACTAGTATATCATGTCGAGACGGGGAGACAGATTGTGTATCTCGTGACATCCAGACTAACTAATCTTCTTCTTACTACTTAGGAATTCAACGGCTATATAATGCCATTGCCTCCCAGAAATTTCTATAACTTATACAATTATCTATTATTCGCCCTGCAATTTGGACATATTCCTAAAGATCCGTTGTATGATGTATGACACGGAAGGTTTGCGCTATGGCCGCAACTATACCTAACCGGCACAGGCGTTCGGCAGTTGGTTGTGCAGCGCTCATCACAAAGTGCTTGGCACTATAGGTTGTTAAGTTTGAATTAATATAAATTTCACTCTTTATAAACCGACTAACTTACATACCTGGTGACCACATTTCAGCAACTTTTCACACAGTTCTTGACATCTGTATTGTTGTTTTTCGGCGCAAGAGACCGATTTGTAGTGCCCACATGGTGGCTTTATGTTAACTTGAGTCTTGCATGGCCCACAGGGATGCCTGCATTCTTTATTGCAGGGATGCCCACAAGGCAGAATGCGTATACAAGTCTCCTACATGATCAATGAGACGGAATGTTATTATAATATATCGAGAATACTGATGAAATATTTGATTTTAGTATCTTACCCAGCATGGAACCAACTCATGAGAATATGTATGGCAATCTCGCGGACAAGGCTGTCAAACAAACGGGTGTCAGAGTTATAAACATAATGATGAATTTTTGTATGCCCAATGTCTACTCACGTGTCCACACTCCATTAGCTTTCCACATTTTTGATTGCATCCACCTTCGGCTGGAAAATCAGAGTTCCAGGTAATTATAGTTTTGGTGTATATTGGTGGATTGTCATCGGGTCTCGAATGCTGCTTGCACCACAATTCTAGTGTCTCACTATAAGAACCATTGCGAGTCAATATTTTCATTATACTTCTCCAAAGGTCTGAATACTCGACCAGTTTCTTCGCATTGCCGAATATATATAGGCCATGCCTTGCACGCGATAAAGCAACACATACTATTCCAATATATTTATATTAGCTATGTTCACAGTAACTAATCAAAAATCTTTCCAAAAATACGTACCTCTGTTGCTCACGTTTAAGAATCCGATGCCCTTGGACTCGCTACTTCGGACCAATGACAAAATAATAATGTCATTTTCTTCTCCTTGAAAACCATCTACGGAAGATACTCGGATGTTCTTTATTTCCTCGAGCGAAGTAGTACTCTCGTCTTTTAATAATCGCTCTATTCTCTTCCTCTGTGCCGTGTACATACTCAGAATAGTGCTAATTAAAGACAAAATAAGTTGTCAAGTCTAAACCAGAAAACAATCAATTTAAATGACGCGTGCATCTTACATTCTTTTAATATCGTATCCGACTTTCACTAGGTAGGCCGCGAACCTTGCACACATGGATGCCTCAAAATCATTAATCTTGCTCATGCCATCCCTCGAATTACTTTCATCATTTTGATGGTCAAAGAATAAGAGATTCTTCATTACACCCTGAACGTTAGGGTAGTTTTTGACTTCTTCTCCATCCGTAATGGCACCATGACCGTCTCTGTCATAAATGGGCGTTAACAGCCTGCGTATTTCTGGTCGCATCCTTCGCTGTTGACTGAGTCTTGTGAATGGCATAAAACGAATCAGGCGTTCAAATAGTGACAAATCCATGCCCTAATAGAACGTTTAAGACACGATTAGTTGGCTAAAGTACGGTGACATATTATAAAAAGATAGCAATATACAGTCTGAGCACAAAGTCGCGGTAAGCAAGTTCTTACGTGTATTTCGGCCAACTCATGCACGGCTAAACGCGGACGCAGCTGTTCATGATCACTGAAGGACAGAAATGTTTCAGTTATCAATCGATCTTAGAGTTGCAAAAAAAAAAGTATTAATCCATACCCAATCAATATCAAATGTTCTGTTGAAGGGGTAAGTGCAGTAACAATGTGTGCTTCTAATGCTTCCGCTGCTTCCTCTATAACAATGATCTTTGGTTTCAAATATATTAAAAGATCGTGATATTTTGCCTAGCAAGAAGAAATCATACAGGTTACATTGACATTAGAACACTGCGAAACAAGAAGTAAAGATGAGGGATAATACATCAGCAGATCAACTACTTACCGCAGCAGTTGTGGTCATACCAACTACTTTGGCCTCCTTCAACATAGCTAAATCTTCTCTAATTCTTTGATGCTTCAGCTTTGCACAAATCTTTGTGTATTCAACATTAAGCTCGTGTAATTCGCCTTGGATTTTCTGTAGATGCTCCTGCCTCCATGAATTATGTATAGCTGCACGAACGTGCACTGGGATCTCCCACAAATCTTCACATTCCATATACTGTCGAATTTCGGCTTCACTGACGTGTGTGTTAGAAGACACGCATTCGTCACTTCTGAGTACTATGTGCTCGCCTTTTGTTAGTAATCCACCCTCGTTGGCCTGGAATTCTGCAAGAATCTCATCAATTTCTTCTTCATCTACCTCCGTTATGTCATCCTTATCTTCACCAGTGACATATAATGCAGCCATCTCCGTTTCCATTTTATTATGTGCAGACGCCGTCGTTTCCAGTGCTTGTTCGAGCCATTCACGCATATGATCCTTCTCGCCCTTATCGTAATTGCTAGCTGACGTTACCCAATCGTCTTCTTCCAAACTTTGTAGCTGTTTTTCGCTTAACAAGCCACGTTCTTTTATATAGCTGATGGGAAGACAGGGCTTGGTGATATCTTCACAAAGTCTTTGGATTTTGGTCACCAATTGGTTGCGTTCTTTAATCAGGCGATTAAACTCTGGATTACGAAGCCTTTCTTTTTCGTCCCGTTTAATGTTGTACAGGGTCTTAGGTAAGATTTTTTCGCTTTTTGAGCGAGAACCAAGTCGAATAATTTTTTCCTCAAAGTTCATAATTTCTAATAGTGAAATAACAAGCGTTAAACAAGTTCCCAACTAAATAAGCGTATTGTAATTACTTACCCTCTAAAAACTGGTCTAGAGCATGGTTAGTCTGACATGAAATTATAATCGGTCCGCCTACGTTTTCCAAAAGAATTCGCACAGCTGCAAGTCCCACATACTATAAAGATAAAGTTAATCGGATATACAAGTGAACTTACAAAACTTTTAAAGTTATATCAAATTACCGTTTTTCCTGTTCCAGGAGGCCCCTGAACCAAAGCCAACTTTCTGGTCAGCATTCTCTGCAAAGCCTCATATTGTGACGAGTGGAGAGTGCTTCCAAAGTCTTGAATGGAGGGCCATTCATCCCAAGCGTTGTTTACATTGATCTGATAAAACAATCGAATGTCAGTTTGTCTTTTTTATAATTTGGCATATTTCTAATTCGTCGAAAACTCACTCTACTGTATTCTAAAATTTCTTTCATATGTTCGAATGGTTTCGCGACTCCCAAATCATATGTTGGCAAACGATTCTTCAGATATTCCGGTTTGTCGATCTCATCATCCAAATCAATAATTTGCGATGTAAATGGCAATGTCACCGGATCCAGTTCTTGCAGAACCGTGAGAACGTGTCGATACGCTGTGATATAGCAGAATGAGTATATCGAGAGAAAAGTTGGTGGAATTTGTCGTTTAGACGATCGCTCGCTACAAGCAAATCATATTTACATAAAAAACGTCTGTATTGCCATCAAGTTTACATACCTTCAAAATATGTAGAAGTAGCCTCCACCTGTAGACGTAATAGAAAAAATCGTTTATTTATTACGATACTTTTTTTGTCCAACAAATATGATAATACGAACCATTATATAATCCCCGTTCCAAACGAATTCAGTGTCTTCGTCACGAAAAAGAATATCAATTTGTAAATCGAATTTATCTGTTAATAATTCATCAGCCCGGCTTATGACTACTCCAAATTTCATAGTTTCAAATTTATCCTTGGTAAGGACAACGAATGTTCCTGGTATCAGACGCTTACTCTGCTTCCTGATTATATAACATAAAAGTACATGAATATTGCGTCTACATAGTAAGCATTTGTCAATAGAAACGGACTTTACCATCTTACTGAAACGCCATGGGGTAGCCGGAATCCAACTCGTAGTACAAGCCCCGCGAGAGCACACGTTGCCCCAACAAGATGTACCTACGAGAACGTAAACATCTTTAATAAACACAGTCTCTCTCGGGAATACAAACCAAATACATACTTTTTCATATATTCTCATATCTGTGTCATCGACTCTGTAATTTCCCTCACGATACATTCTTATGCCCTCCCTGAGTGGCCTAACACAGTCTTCTTTTAATAATCTAAAATGTGTAACCAGATAACTTTCCACGTTTTCATAGGGTAAATCGGCATCATTATATGGAAGATCTTCAGGCGTTTCTTCCAGAAGGTCCTCTCGCGTTGGCATGACCGAAATCGCACGGAATCCTTCTTTTTTCGGCTTCACGATTTCTTCTAAATTTGGTAAAATAATTCTGGGTTTTTCCCTTCCTTCAGCAACCGCGTTGCCACCCCGACCTCGCCCGCCACGACCTCTTCCTCCGCGACCTCTTGGACGCCTATCTCTCGAAGGCTGCCTGAGCCATTCCGGTTCATCTCTTGACGATCTTTCGAACCATTCAGGTTCATCCTTCGAAAGCCGTGTCATCCATTCTGGCTCATCGTCCGGTTGTCCTCCCGTTCGAACTGAAGGCCGTGCTGGTTCAACCGGATATTCGTTTGGACGATATGAGTTATTCCATGCACCAGCGGGGGAAAATTGCGTATTATTCCTGGTTGGGCGTTCACCAGCCGTGGCATTGAGAGTGGGCCGTTTGTCAGTCGTAGCATTGGGAGTGGGCCGTTTGTCAGTCGTAGCATTGGGAGTGGGCCATTTGTCAGTCGTAGCATTGGGAATGGGCCATTGATCAGTCGTAGCATTGGGAGTGGGCCACTTGTCAGTCGTAGCAGGACCAATGTTCCATTCGTCAGACGTAGTGCCCCATGCGTTAGTCGTAGCATGGCCAGTGCCCCATGTGTCAGTCTTAGCGTGGCCAGTACCCCAGGCGTTAGTCGTAGCATGACCAGTGCCCCATGTGTCGGTCGTAGCGTGGCTAGCGCTCCGTTGTGGCTGTTCGTGACTCTGCGGTTCCTGAACGCGTTCCCGATAATAATCCGATCTCGGACCTTTTCTTTTACGTGTCATTCTGTTCGTGTAAATGAGAGTTTGGAGCGTTAGGAAACAGAGTGCATATATATATAGAAAGACTAGCTCGATCATCTATATATAGACAACAATGTCATATACAGAAAAAAATTTTTTTTCCTCAACCGATGGCATGAAATCATGTGACAATAATCTAATGCTACCTTTCCCGGCAAACCTCAAAAATTTTCTACCCAACGAACAATGCTACGAGGCTCGCGAATAGCTTCCCGTTGCGCCATTGGACCCTTGCCAGGATACTCAGCTGTATCTTTGCCTATAAAATGTATCTCCACGCGAACGTATAAGGTACATAAGACTTTTCTTGTCCATGAACTTTCTATCGCGTGCCCGACGGAAAATGTCGCTGATTCAAAATAGCATATCATCAATGATTGTGAATAAAATAGACATCATCGAATGCGAGAGATTCAAAAGCTTCTTCCAAGGAAGCTACTAAACAATCCTCAGGGGAACCTTCCAAGAAAGACATTAAGAAACCCGCAGGAAAAACTTCCGAGGAATTTGTTCAGAAAAGTTCGACGGAAACGGTTAAGAAACATTCGCAAGAGTCTCCCAATGAAGCTGGAGAGAGCGCAGGGACAAAGAAGAAAGGATTCGGTTTTACAAAGATCGCGTTGGCAGTTACTGTATTAAGTACTACCGCTTATGGAGGAGCAGTGTACTATTCTCTGCGCGACGATAAATTTCGCAGACATTTTACAAACAGTATACCTGGGGCGGATCGTACTGTCAGTTATGTAGAAAAATTAGAGAAAGAAGGAGATTGGAGTAAATTAGGTAATGACGTGGTACAGTATAGTAAAGAAAAGTATAATGACTTTATTAGCAAGGTTACCGGTCAGAGTTCTCCTGTCATAAAGAAGGATACAAGCGAAGATCGAAAGCCGGCTCCTCAAACGGACCAGAAAGTTTCTTTTATGGAACCTATTATTGAGCATTTATCCAGAACCATCAGCGAACTCGCTGATATATTAAGTAATGAGGGGCTCAGCGAAGCAGGGGGTCACATTATATCTAGAGCAAGAGAGGAATTGAAGACACTCGATGAGAACATTAAGCGGATCAAACTCGATGGACAAACTTTGTTACAGATACAGTTGAGCGATCAAACTGAAAAGTTCAATAAATTATTAGAATCCAATGAGAAAGCAATGAGTGATTATATCCAGGACATGGAACTTCGTATAAAGGATCAGTACGAAAAGGAAAAGATTCAAATACAAACAGAGGCTCAGAAAGTTTTGACGACACAATTGTCTCAGCAAGCAATTAAACATATTGAACAACTTAAAGATGAACTTGTGAGACAAGCAGCTGAACTACAACGTCGATGGATTCGTAGTGTTAGAGCGCAAGTTGAGAAGGAACGAGGGGGACGCCTAGCACGTCTTGATTACGTTACCCTTCGATTGAAAACCCTCGAGAGACTAGCAGTGGATAATGTGGAGCATCTGGACCATAGCCTTAAGGGTCATAAGCTATCCGTTGCAGTTTATGCTCTTCAGCAGGCAATAATGCAACCTCAGCGTACTCCATTTATCGATGAGTTATATACTCTGAAAAAGGTTGCTGGAGACGACGAATTAATAAATGTCGTTGTCGGATCTATTGACGAGACAGCTGCTCTTCATGGGATATGTTCTCTGTCTGATCTCAGAAACAGATTCAAAGTTGTACGGGAAGAAATTAGGCGTGCATCCCTTGTTCCTGAAAATGGGGGTGTGTTTGCTCACGCATTGTCCCTTCTGCTAAGTAAGTTTATGTTTCGTAAAAACGGTCTTGTACCTGGAAACGATATAGAGGCAATACTTGCGCGTGTAGGTTATTATCTTGGAGAAGGTGATTTAGATAGCGCGGCGAGAGAGTTGAATCAGTTGACAGGATGGTCGAAAGTTTTAGCGAACGACTGGATCGTGGCAGCGAGGAGTCATCTTGAAGTTAAACAGGCGCTTCAGGTGATTGTTATCAGTATATATGAAATTGTGATAGTTCGTGCACATGATGCTAACGTAACCATTTCCTTTCTGCAGGTAATCGAAACCCAGGCAACATTATCCAGTTTATCAGTCGTATAAGATGTCGTTGAGTATTACGATTGTTGCCCCAAAGATAATTGATGCTGCTGTAATGATACTAATAGAACCGATAAATATATATTATTTTTGCTTTCGTTGATATGACCACGAGCAATATAAAGCATTACCAAAGTAGTGGCTCTATCCCAGATTTGGAATCTAACATTTAATGGTTCGTACAGTATTAATTGTCGTTGTGGATTTTGACGATACATCCGCTAGGAGGACCTCTGTTTTTTTCTCTCTCTTCGCTTGAAGATTTATAATGTTTGGCCGAAACATTATTAAGGAGAATTAATCAGAGGGTGGAGGCCGTTGCAGAAGTGCACATATTTGCACACGGCTTGAATCAATGATTATGAAATGATAGCTTTTAGTAGAAAAAGTCTGTCGATTGGGAAATTGATTGGTGAGAATGCAACTATTCATTATTATACATGAAGCTGATAGCGGAAACCTACTTCAATAGGGACTGAAGGCTTGCTTTACTTTTTGTATACATTATGTAATATCCTTGTACATTGTAGGTTGTTGATCTAGCATTTGGAGTTCATTGACATAACAAACGCGTAAAATCCGAAAGAGGAACAAGGGAATATTATTAACTTTCTATGCGTTCCAAACGGTTATTCTTACAAGATTGCTTGAAAAGCTTGGGTTACGAATTGTAATTTAAACTGTGTCGGCTCGTTGGAATTCGCTCTTTAAAAGTTGCTATATGAGTTTAATTGCACGTAATAGTAATTATTGATTCAACAAATTTCTTTGATACGCTGGTAATAAAATTTATTACGTCATCTGTAACACCGTAGCTTGTCTCAGAATGGCGTTCTCGGTTTTATTTTTCGATACTTCCTTCCGTAGAACTGTGTTCGTCCAAACTACGCAACGTAAACTTGGATAACCCAACGCAGAATCCGATCGTCATTAACGACGATAACATTGAAGGGGTTAAAGTGCAGCGGGACGCAAACGGAGACGTAAAGAGTGAGTTAGGATTTAATATCATGTTTCTGACAGACACAATAGGATTTGGTTTTGTGGGCGCACATGTATGAACGGTTTTTCAATCATGTTTTTATATGGACTCGTTCTTGTTCTCATTTTCTGGCCCTTGACTGGTTTTTCTTTTTTGACAATGCACAGCACTTAATCTAACGCTTTCTGATTCTGTACTCAGTGGAAGAGATGTCCAACAGCTCTGACAGTGAATATACGAAGTATTGGATTGATTGGTTTCTCTCCGCAAAGGGAAACGAGTATTTTTGTGAAGTGGATGAAGAATACATACTTGATCGATTCAATCTGACTGGATTAAATACAGAGGTTCAGCACTATGTTCAAGATCTTGATATGATAACCGATTCTCTGGGTAAGTGAAAATCAGTACATTGATCCGGAATGATTTTACACAGAATCAAAAAAAAAAAGTATTTAAAATGGTTCATGTTGTATTTACGTCTGTTACTGTTGTGATTTTAATTTTTTAGAGGAGGAGTTGGATGATGAAATGCGTGAATTAGTAGAGAAATCAGCACGACACTTGTACGGACTTATACACGCACGCTTTATAATTACTGGACGTGGTTTATCGAAAATGGTAACTCATTCCTTGCTTTCTTCATTCTTCTCACTCTACCCGTCATTCTGGTTTAATCATTTCAATGTCTTACTTCAATATGCAACTATAAATACACACAAAAAGCACACGCTGTATATATGTGTATATATATATTAACTGGAACCCCCAATTCTATTTTGTTTCACACGAAATATTCCAAAGTTGGAAAAATACAAAAAGGCCGAATTTGGTCGTTGCCCTCGAGTTCTGTGTCAAGGCCAACCTCTACTTCCTGTCGGCCTATCCGATCAGCCATACGCGAATCCAGTGAAGTTGTATTGTCCACGATGTGAGGATATTTATAATCCAAAGTCGACACGGTATACGAGTATTGACGGAGCTTACTACGGGTCTACTTTTCCGCATATGTTGTTTCAAGCATATCCACATCTATTGCCTCCGAAAAATAATGATCGATATGTACCAAAGATATTTGGTTTTTCTATCCATAGTATTGCCAAACAACATCGGTGGCAGGATCGCAAGCGGAACGAGCTGCAGAGAAAGCTTACGGCTGGTAGCAATAGCAATAATAATACTAATGAGAGCCGTAGTTAGAATTAAGATGACACTGGGAGTCATGATTGAGGTTTATCAGATAATATGTGGAAGGGAAGTATGGGGTGAGTCGTTATGCATTGTTGCATTATTTATATTTTAATTCGTGAAATATTTAAGTGATAAATTGGGTCACTTGACGTATCAACGTTGTAAGAATGCGCTTTCGCACACGCTGTTTGATGATATTAATAAATTTCTTCTCTTAGAGTCAGGCAAAGATTGATTCCCGTATTGCTTTCTTCGGTTTATATTATGCCCTATTACCTATTTCTCTACAGCTTTCCCCAAGTTGAGACATCTTTTTTTGTTGTTATTCAACAACGTCTCCATTAAGGGCAACTGAAGAATAGCCCACTAAACATAATCGTCGATAAATTCATGTCACGTAGATCGTCGTGAATAGAGAATTTGATTAATCAAAACTTTGTCAATATCCAAGTTCTAATACAAACCCGACGACTTGGAGATTGACACAACATTTACGATTACAGGATTACTAGTGAATTTACCGTTTTTTTTTTTGCCACAGCTGAAATACTTGGTGTACTGCTCAAGATACCATTGCTCCTATGCACGACCTTCCTTATATATATCCAGTCCTGTATACTGTAGTAGTAGGCAATGATATCAACAATTGAAAATTTTTAGATGTAGCAGGTAGAAATAAACCGGTTTGCTGATTGATTCAAGGCATCAAAATTAACATTTCCATTTTAGTAATAGTAATAGTGCCATATACCTCATTGCCAGAGACTAAGACCTGATTCTCATCACCAACCCATCATCAATATCATCTACTTTTATCCAAAGCTCATTTGTTGGTATGCTACAATATTTATAACTTGTTTGTTAAAGTGATATCATATTTGGCCAGACTGAAGCATTGTTAATTTAATTATTCCAACATTTGTCACCTTATTATTATCTGTTCCTGAAATAGAAAATGCAGACTTGGTTTCATTGCTGCACTGATTATTAATATTTCACTGGCAATGAAAATATCTGATCTCACATACTTTTGAACGGCTCTGATAGTATAAGCACTTCTATTCGTATTCAGTTGATGGAGTGTTTTTTGTTGTTATTTTGACTTTGTAGTTGTAGTCTTGGCAATGCCATCTTGCACAATTACAATATCATTACTCTAAATTCTTCGGGCTTCATGCTAAACGAAACTGTATTAGAGTATGAAGCATGTATGTTGTAAACGCACAAATCATGTGTCTCCGTAGAATTCTTCTCATTGTCAATTATATGAATTTTTATTCGCTGTTTATGTTACGGATTAAATACGCGTAGGGCTTGGCAGGACGCGTTTATATCACTCGCCAGATTTATTATTATTTAAATCATGCGTATTGTGCAAATAAAACTCTAAGGCTTCTGTATTAGAGAATATGGAGAAAAACTAATCCATAAGAATGTTAGAACAAATAAGGCAGAACAAATGTTACGGTTTAGATTATTAATCAACTAAAAAGTTTTGATTTGAAAGTAACAGTTTTCTTACGTATCTTAAGAAATTCGGACATACCGTTTTGTGTAGCAACAATCCGTTATTCAATAAATGCAAGTACCTAACATTCTCTATCGATTGTTGTGGAAGAAGGATTGTATCTCTTCAGCCAGATCTTTTAACTCAAAGATCGAAACGGTTGAAAATTCAGGTCACGTTGTATATTTTGAATTTTATAAAATAATTGTAATTACACATGGCGCGGATTACAAAAAACAAGCAAATCCAAAACGAGGGCAAAAGTATCACCGTTCCTCGTGCTCTCGATTCTGTTGATTTAGTAACAATTTGTAGATTTGCGCAAAAGCGTGTCGATATATGGATTTGTACAGAGGGCTTAACCTCTATCAACTCCTCGAGAAGGAGTATCCGCCGAACTTTGATTTAGGAAATTATTTGGGATTGATAAGCTTTGAAGCCGGCCAATCCCGCACAATCCCGGCAAGGTAAGTGCCATTTATCGTATAATTCCACAATTGGCCGCTCTACCTTCTGCCACTACTACAACTACTACAACACTGACAAAAAACGACAAGCATTTTCGCATGAGAATGACATAAACACTTTTTATATCCGTGTTTATTCGATATTAACACTATTTCGCTTCCAAAGATAAAAGGCGCGTATGCATGGTAATGTCATATTACCATGAACCAGAGAACGCACCCACAGCATACTCTATACCCACGAAATAACTAACTTCAGACGCAAGGCATTTTCCTGGAAACACAGTGTGTCTACAAAGAGCTCGCCCTTCCGACCGAACACTCACTATTAGAAAGATATCAAAAAATAACGGGCCATTGACATCTTATCATATCCACTCTCCGTATCGCCAATACTTGTATGGTTTTCTTGAGGAATCTTTTCCTATTTATCATAAATGCCCCCATTTATCTATATTTTTGGTATTATTGTTCTTCATCATTGTCTTTTGGAAGAAGACAAACTTTTAATCACTTTCTTGTAAAAACTGAAAATAATCGAAAAAATAAAGTTTCTTTGCATACCAACTTTTTTTGGTGAATAATGATTGAGAACTCACAGTCGCAAGCTGCAACAACACTAACGCACATTACCAGTATGATACCGCGACTCGTAGTAATTGCCACCTCATTACATAAAAAGAGAAGGGATCGTTACCACCCCCGCGACGTGTAAATAAAATGGAAAGTTAATTTACTTTCAACTTTTAGGGCATTTTTAAGAATGTTATTATGTTACCGGCATTAATAAAAAGTATTTATAAAATTTTGAAATTTTTGACAAGCTAAATATTATGGCCAAAACTGTCTCTACAAAGACTAACGCACATTTCAAAAATAATTGTTTGCACAAAAAATTTAGGCAAATTTTTAGTTTTTTTGTAAATTAACCTTATAAGGCTATGTCAGACTCCCTATTATTAGACGTAATTTTTTAACCTTATATCAAACTCAACAAAAGTATAAGTAATGAATTTTTAGAGATAAGGCACTCAATTCTCTTAAGCTTGTGTATTTTATGGACTTGTGCATTTATAAGACATTTTCAACCAGTTTGGCAATAAGATAAAAGTTTTGTCCAGTTTTGCAATTCAAAATAAACTAAATTACGCCAAAGTAATGTCTCAGTAATTTACATATAACTAAATTTTTGTTGTTGAATATTAGCTCTAGAATAACAAAATATTACTCAGTAATTGTAAGTCGAGAGTATAAAGTGATTGTACTGATAGCCATTCTATCACAAAATTAAATAATAATAACAAATTGCACTTGATTAAAAATAACAAGCGAGTCATTTAATATGGTTGTTTTTAAAAACGTGATAATATTTATGTTGCCCGTTTAGAACATAAAAGCAGCAAAAGCAATTTACGTATGTTGTCTATCAGCAAGTACTTAAACACTTCGGGAAGTTGCAAGTGCGATCTACTGTAACCTACCTCCCAAGAATTATATGTTTATAAAACTTACATATTTGTTATTTATAATTATTACTAATAATGTACGACTTGAGTACGACTTTCGAAAATGCAATTCCACCTTATTCGCTCCTCAACACCATTTACTTGTGCAAAAACGACAGAGTATTTGAATTTGGATATACCGAATTCAAAGACGCAGAATCGCTAAGACAATAATGACACATAAAATTTACACGTTCATTAAGAGTAACTTTTGTGCACAATATTGGCTCGGAATATTAACTACGATTTAAATTTGGATATACTGATTGGCTTGATTCTTGAAGACGCGAAATCGTTTCGATAACAACACAACAAATAAGAATAATACATCTCGTATTTTAATCGATAGTTTCAAAATGCAAGACGTAAACTCTTTGTATAGTAAATTGTATTTCAAAGTATATAAGGGCATTTTAGTGGCATGCTAACAAAATAGCCTCAGATTTCGCTTTTCCTCATCTCTCAAAATGGGATGCTGTAATAATAAAGAAAGTTGCTTACGAATAGAATTGTCTCAGAGAATCTGTTAAAACATTCTTATACGATGCATTGCATGAACGTTTGCTGCTTGACACACAGCAAATACTTATGTAACTGCTTCAGGTTCTAGTGTGTGGTTCAGAACGAGTTGCTAGTTGCGCGGCACGTAATCGTCATTCATCATAAAACCAGATGCAATGTCCAGTGACTACATTATCAGTCACCTTATTTATTGATAGTTCATAAACAGATTTTTCTACTTAAGCATCAAAAGATACATTGATTTATTTAACATGTTTAACAAGTCAATAAATAATTCAGCGTCCACTTCTATAGCATTGAACCGGAGCGTATTTTTGATCTGAAAAAGGTTGACTGCTTTCTAGATTTTCGTGATCTTTATTGAACACACGTGTTGTTGATCACAATTCGTGCTCTAATATAATAATATAAAATTACATAGTTTAGAAATCTTAATTCTACTTAAATACATCTATAATTATATACAAAACGGGGTGTCATCCCCTAATAAATCTTAGAGGAACAGAGTAAAGTAGGCAATCAGGATTTCTTTCCTTGGCCATCCACTACGGAGTGTTGGTTTAGTTGTCTTTCCACAATGTATTTAAAATGCCATATTATGTCACAATTTATTATTATACTGCATATGATGACTGCAAGTTAATAAATATATCACAGCCAACATTCTATCCGGGACTGATTGTTGCCACTAAGGGTCAAGCATAAGTGTAACTGGTTGTAATTCTTGCTTGGAGGTGGTGGCGATTAAAGGAGTGTAACCACCACAACCCCCTCGCATTTTAATGTCGTCCCATAGCAGCAAAAACTGTAATGGGATAGAACGTGGCAATATGTATTCGCATGACAGAATATGGGTGGTCCTTCGCCCGTGAAGATGCTTAGGGATCTCAATGGCATACGGATCTATTACCCAAAATTCTCGATGCGGGAAATATGACTTGACGAGGGCGCGGACTAAATAGTATGCCGCGGCGGTTCAAAAAGGAGTATGAATCGCCAGTCGAGGACGTGTTGTGACGATGTGTTCTATGTGTGTTCCTTCGCACACCCCCGGGGAGACTTGGCGTCGGAGTATCTCTCTCCGTTATTGTCCGGATTGTGTTCGGGCTTGCGTATGGGGGACAGACTTTTGTGGTGTTATATTGATGACCGCTGACTGTGCGTGCAGGCCGATAGGCCGTCGTGCCAATACTGGACACTCGCGACAAGGCGTTGCACATGTATTGTTCCATAACAATAAGGCCGAGATAACGCAGTCATGGGTTTGGATAGGATACAAGCCTCGATACGTTTTGGTATGCGTTGGTATGTAATTTGTCGTCGACCTTCCAACATGCCCCGTCCTTGCGCTGAATATAAGAGTATGTCCCAAGCAGGTCAATTCCCCATCGGGAGACCTGTAAAACCTTGGCGGTTGCGTATTACCCTGGTGCTGTAATCGGATGAACCATTCGCTTCGCTTGACGTTTAACATTAGTATGTCCATACTTATTACTCGAATAATAATAACGAAGGTTAACCATGGTGCGTTTTTTCATCGCTTACTTTATAATAATTTGTGATTTGTTGCACAATATTACAGCACCAATCATTTTTGCTTATAGGTCCATCCCCCGATATCATTTTATTAACTTTCAATCTCGTGCAACACGTCAATACAACAGATCTTAATATTCGTAATGTCAACTTGTTCCCCCGCAAACTGTAAAGGTTTCTTCATAATGTATACATACTGTACGATCAACCCTAAATGCAAGCTCCGAACTTATAAGATATTATGTATTTCATTCTGATTTAGCCACATAATTCCGATGCATTGCATTTAGAAGGGGTTCATGCATAACGATAGAGATAAAGAAACTGTATCCTGGGAAGAAAATCGTGGCGAATGTGATACGGATATATATTGGCGTTAAAAAATTGTCCTTAATGCCAAAGAATAATAAGAGAGGACAATAGAGGTCCGTTTTGGACTCACGCTTCTATAAAGAAATATTCTGCATTGGCGAAAAAATCATTAAATGGCATCGTGACTATTGACCGAAGTAACAGATATCGTAACATCAACAGCCATGAAGGCCCCAGAAATCAACAAATGAATATCTACGGGAGAGGCAGTTGCAGCTGGGTCGTCTGCTCCCACTGAGACATTAGTTGATGCAGTGATATCTTCCCGCATCCGTCTGATTTTCAATACCCAACTTACTTCTTGCGCTTCTGCATAGTATTTCCTCTGTTACAATAATCTTCAGAATCTCAGTATCAGCGTTCTATTCAAGAAGAGGAATTAATATGTTCATCCTACATCTATAATGTCCTCACGTATACTTCTCTATTTCAAGAAGAGGAATTAATATGTTCATCTTACATCTATAATGTCCTCACGTATACTTCTCTATAGGTCGCGTTCCCTTCTTCTCTGATAACATAACTTTTGCTTTCTACGTGTTCTCTCCTGTAAGATTCGATATGGAGTCTTCAAACTCAACCGTTTAGAACATCTCCCACGTTTTTACCCAGAGTACTCCATCAACATACTTGATGCTAAGTTTTACTCCGAGCTCTTGTCTCCAATAGAATTAGGTTCTGATTATGAGTTCAAACAGAGCTACTGGTGACGTAGAAGCGATCGACGTCATTACAGATGATGTGCCGCCTTCCACGCGCGTTTACAGACGATGCTTTGCAAGCCGTATAGAGTTGCTGTAGCCACTTGGAACAAAAGTAAGCATCAAACTTTTCGAGAAAGTTAGAACGTAGTCAAATGTCTTACTTTTTTCCTTCAGGAACAAGATTGAGTACGCATTTTGTTGGAGAGGTAATAAGACCATAACTTGTAACTTTCAGCCTTTGCTTTGTATCGGCCTCTTCCCCTTTTTTTCACAATTACGAGTGTCCAAGGTGTTATTTATTTCGAATATAAATAGAGCTGACATGCATAAATAAAGCAGTAGTATATTCCCGGTTTTTATTTGAGTCGAAGTACTTGCAGAGTACGATTAAATATTATTATTAATATTATTACACAATAATCTAAGCATTTGATTGGGCAGTTAGCATTCAAAATCCTTGTTCATGTCAGGAAACTTTCTTTACTTGAAATAAATCGGTACCTCTGATGTAGCCCTTATCAGATTTTCCTTTGAAATTTGTCTATCTTTTGTCATCACCTCTTCCGACTAAACGGGACAATAAACCAAGTAAGTGGAAGAAATCATACAAATATGCGTGAGAAACAAGAGCTTTACTTACCAACGTAATCTCAGGGTCACCGTCATGCGGACCTCGTATGTTGCGCACCGAACTGTAATGTTCCCAGTTATGATATCTAAACATTGTTCACAAAAGTATGTCAGAATCTTTCTTTTCGGCAACAACACGAACACGCTAAAATAGTTCACGCACGCTATATGAAGTGTCTTTCTGTTACGATCCAGTTTTTTAGAACTCTCCTTGCTATCAAAGTCATTGCCTGAGATCACATATATTGTTCCCGGCTGATATACTCTTATATTGACTCGCTGTAATTGTGCATATCCTACAAGTTCCATGTTACCACCATAGGTCCCTAGCTTACGCATTTGCGCAATATGATCATCGAATCGATCTTCTTCAACAAAATGCTTAAAGTGTTTCTTATTAGCTGCTAAATAGTCGCAGACTTCTGAGCGAATTTTTGCATGTTTACCAGGACTTCCATAATACTGGTCTGAGAGAGCTCTATAAATATAAAGAATCGAGGCTGTAGTGATCGTCGTTCGTTCTGGTAACGAATGTATCGCTTTCACATTCTCAGTCTGCCAGATAATATACCTAAACAAGCAGTTACCGTCACCAGCGATATCTTTAAGATATAAACCGAGTTCTTTGAGTTGTTGTCTCAAACTTGATATTCCTAAACCAAAACATTTTCTTGGGTGCCCGTTCTATATAAAATAACGAGACTTTTTATGAGTGCTAAACTCATAACGAAACTAGTTCATTTTATACAAAATAAAAAACTCTCCATTTTGCCAATATATATAATCAGTCGTTACTTACTCGATTGTTTTTATTACGACGTCCTTGTTTCGTCTGTTCTAAACAAAGCAAAACCATCAGCATTCCACTTCAACCTTGTCATCCGGCAACGTATTCCCTAAAACCGAAACGCTACCTTGTTCTTGTGTTTCCGACGCTGGTGTTTCCACGGTTTTTGAGGCCACCACTTTCCGTTTATTTTGTTTAGCTGCTCGTTTCTTGTTCTTTTTAGCCATTTTGTTTTATTTTTGTTACGAAATGAAAGGTTCTGCTTCGTCATGTTTGCAAAAGTTATTAAGGACGATCGGGGATAAATTTATGGTAGAAGCACGGATTAGAAAAATTTTTTGCACATGTGATCTGTGCTTCAGCAGTAGAGCAAGAAAAAGTAGTTAAGAGCTATGGGTTCTTTAGTGCGGTTCTAATGTCATTCATCATGATCGTTCTTACATACCTGGTTGTTAACAAAACTGAAAAGTTGACTATTGGTAAATTCTATGGCAACAAAAATGGTGTGTGGAATGCTGTAATACGCAGATACTGCAGATTTCTATTACTTTGATGCTTCAGGTTGGGGTAAAGTCTCTATGTGCTTAATTTCTTGTAGAGTCCTAATTTTTTTTACAAAGAACAATTTATTCTGTGAAACTGCGTACAAACATACGGTACATCATATATGTATTGTTCAGGCAAAACGGTTAGGTGCATACCCAATTGATATTTATTGTTACAAATAGAAGGCCAAAGGTCTGCTTGGAATGTATACAACATCGTTCATCCGTCTTTCTAGATGCAAAATGAATTCGCTCATAGACAGTTCGTTAGAAAGTCGAATAGTATTAACGATTACCACATTTGCACATATGAATAAGGTGTGCCTTATAATTTAATAAGATGACTGATTCTGTCATTACTGTTGACAATTGATTCCAAAGCTGCAGATAGTTGTTCATTTAATTCAACCTTACTGTAAACGTGTGTTTATATCTTCAGAGTCATGCAGACTATAATTACCAGTTAGTCCAGATTAATTTGCATCTACATCGTCATCTGAGTGACGGCAAGATCGCGTTTGCGTTGTCTACATAGCACGTCCAACACAGAATTTCTCTCCCCCCCTTTTTCAAACCTAGTCGAAAGATATATTTATAATTGGTCACTATCCCCGAGAATGACGATGATTTCGCGCTCACGTCGTCATTTGCCAAGGTGTTCAGCCGAGAGAATTGGTCGAAGTAGTCACCCCGAGGACGACGATGATTTCGCGTTTACAGATGGCTAGAAGACGATTTTGCTATTGTCCCATCACTCACCAAACTATGTAAAAATAAAGAGGACTATTCATAGAGACGAGAAACTCCAAAAAAAATTATGGAATATATTCTTTCAGTCTATACATTTACAAACGCAAATCTTATAATGAAACGTTGATTTGACAAACAATAGCCGATCTTTTCTACAACATATTCGTAAATATGTTCAAATTGAAAATTAGCATGTGCATTTCGCGTGAAATGACATTTATAACATTCTTATCGCTTGTATTGCATCCCGTTCACTCTAATTTAACGGATGAACATTGCCGACATACACGCACCAAAGCCGTCGAGGCAATCTCGCAGTCTTTTTATCGTATTCCGTTCATTTTATGGCTTTTTTCCCCAAGAAAAGCCTATTGAAACTTTGTGCAACATATTACTTTTAGCAATTGTAGGCAATTTTAACATCGGCCTTGTAAAATAACTGTCGTCCTATATTGCCAAGGTGCAAACGATAAATGAATCAGCAAGCCGTTAAAACAACGTGTAGAATACAGATAATATACAAGACATCATTAACAGTCACTTGATACATTTGTATCTTCTTTTTCAAATTCATTTAAAATATTATTGTTTAACGCTCACACTTAATAGAAATCGACATCTTTATATTATGGAAATAGTCTGTCCTTATAAATAAACTCTAGCATTTGGGCTATTTAAACTCCCAAAGTCTTCTTCACATTTTCTCGCACAATCCGATTAAACGCTTCCCTGTCAGTGCGCCAGATTTTCTATTATATAGGATAACAATATTAGTAAAAATCCGAGAACTTTTTAATCTTCAACATTGACTTGATCTCATAAAAGTTTCTCTCCTTGCTATGACATATTCACTTATCTTAACATTGACTCGAAAACTTACACAAGCCTCGATGTTCGCTCCACTCTCATCATTAGGTTCTGCCAGCATAGATACCACGCTTAACAAAACTTTCTCCACACTCTGTACAGGTGACCACCGTTCCGACGAACTTTCATACATGTGCGGGTCATCACCTGGCGGATGGAGAATAGATATACATACCAAGCCATCAGGATAAACGTTTGGATGGAAAACTTCGCAGGTGAACTTCATTGTTGGTGGAGCTAAGGGATAATCTGTTGGAAATTTGAGAATTGCGGAAAATATTCCTCCTTCATACGGTGTGCCTTCGGGGCCTCTGCGAAAGGGGGGGAGGGGGAGGAAGAATAAAACAAGCATGTCGCGAGTAGGGTTAGGATGAGTTGATTAACTATGAATAGATCGGTAAGGAAAAGTCGGTTTGCTTACGCTATTAAAGCTTCCCATTCGAAAACTTGGTCTTCTGATACAGGCCCTATATTAAGTAAGCGTGTTAATATATAAAAACGCTCTTTTATCGCCATTCGTTAGCGGTTGAATCTTACCAGCTGTGATCCCTTCCGGAGCATTTATCGTTAATTCTGTTAACAAAATTAATACACATATAAATAAAACGCGAAATATAAATAGTCTTAGAAAATTTTATCAAGATTGGCTATTTTTTTTTTTCAAAAGCGCTCGCTTTCCTTGTACACTAGAAAGTTGATCGACTCTTTAGAATCTCTAGCGTTTGTCTGGTAGCTTTTGATCGTTGGCCCATGTTCGAATGCTATTTCTTAGACTTACCCTTATATTCAATCATCAGCCGTTTCGCGGCTGTTGAAGCCATATTCTGTGGGTGGTACATCTTGTGCCGTCACTGAAATGAAGTATGAACCGTTCAACAAGTTGGCAGATAACCGTTATATACCTTGGTCACGTGATAATTGAAATTGCCGTGTATGATTACTTTGCGAGCACAAGATTCCCATTGCGCATATCTGTTAACCGTGGATCCACTTATAAATGAACATGTCACGTATGAATCCCACGAGAAAGTGATCAGCGTACAAACAACGCTGAGTATACAAGCTCTCCAGCAACCCACCATCGAACATTAGCAGATAAAGCACACCATTGTCATTGTCCAAGCGTGTGCTATCAACAAACATACCCATCACATTCATACAACGTGTCACAAAAAGACATAGAGACCGGATCACAGCTCCGAATACAGTCCGGCAAAGCTTTGAAGAAACATCAACCTTTGATAGCATTTTTTGGCTTTAGTTTTTGGACCGTAAAACTCCTACTCAGCGCGGCTGTTGGTAAGTAGAACCCATGATATCATGAATTATATACAGAATATGCCATAAAATTTAACCAAGTCAATATCAGACATTTTCACCTGAACGCAAACGCGATAGACGTAATGGACACTAGTCCAGTGTCAGGTTCTTTCCTATTTACTATTTCTGATCCTGCAAGGCTCAGTATGCCTGTATATTCTCCCCCATTTGCTACTTCATACAATACCTTTTGGCAGCTTGAATTTCATCCTGTAAGTTAAGAAGAGCATTGCCGCCTCTTTTAATAATTACTTCCCAATGTAGTATTATATGGTCCTAACGCAAAATCAAAAGATATCTGTAGATAATCCAGAGTACTGTGCTCTATATTTGAACGCTGTGGCCAATCCCCAAGAACTAGTTACGACCAAGAAATGGGAAGGACGAAGCGAGCTTTCGGCCGAACTATTTGCTCGATTGACCACAGAGCAAAGCAGTGGACCCGATACCATAATGCAATTACCTATGACTCAATTAAATCCGAATGGAAATGGTCGAATTGAGCTTGGTTATTTGAGCAATTACTCTCTAAAGAACCCTAGTTGGGGTAAGACGCTTTATATTTTCTCATTCGACTATGAACTAATTATTAAAGTTAACTAACAAGACATTTCTCATTAATTGTCAATTTTTTCCAAAGGAAAACGGACTCTAATTGAAAGAACACATTTCAATGTCAATAACGTCAATAATGTCAGTCCTGGTGTCAATCGTAGTAGATATACTCGCATAACCCTCCCCAATAATACACCTACAAAGGTAGAACTAACTATCGGAGTTAAATTCCAGTCAACTGTTCTGGCACAAAGTTCATTTCAAGCCCCGTTACCTGGTAAACCATTTCCAAAGGAGATACTGCAAGTCCTCGAAGCTGATCTCAATAAATCGGATCGAGCTGATGTCCAATTCAATCTACAGGAGGGTGCTGTGTTCGCCAACTCTTCTGTGCTATGCAAAAGATCAGAGTACTTTAGTCATATGTTGCAGGGTAATTGGTCGGAATCAATTATTCGTTCTCAAAAACAGCGGAAGCGGCACTGCCCTTCAATATCTGTTGATGACGAGATACCGCATTCCATATCCTCTCCATCATCAAAATCCTCATCCGACGATGATGTAATTGAGATAAACTCAAACATAAAATACATAATTAATGTGCCTGACATACCAAAAGAAGCATTTCTTGATATGCTCCGATATCTATACACAGACCAAGTGTCGATACCTGTAGGCGATGAGGCATACAAGGCAGCATTAGATCTCTTTGCGACGGCTGACAAATACCTTTTAAATGATCTCAGGCAGAGGGCAAAAGCAGAGATATATCAACTACTTAGTCCTGATAACGTCGTTGATATCTTATTCGGCACTGCATGGAAGTGGCCTGACCTTAAGGAAGACCTGATGGCATACATCGCAGACAATGTCAGAGCCGTCAAGGAAAGCGATTCATTTAAGAATTTGGGAGACGATTCATTGGCATATCCAAAGAGTGTTGAGCTGCTAAAGGATTTAATGGTGATGTTATACGAGAAAAATGGCGAATGAACATGCAGAAATACAAGTAAGGATAGGCAAAAGATAGTGAAATTTAGAGAATATGAAAAAAGGACAAGAAAACGTCCACGTAATTGAAGGAGGGGTTGGTACATATATAGGGTATATTAGGCCGGTATCTAATGTTTGACATTGAAAGATGCTTTATTGTAAATTAACATAAGTAAACTTATTGTACTTACTGCATTCAAAAACATATGAACTATCACATCTATGTTGTCACTCCATCTAAGAACTCAATCCCAATATTCTTTTTCAAATACTATGTCATTTCAATTCCACCTCACCCTCCTCCCTTTTCTTTTTTTTCTCTTTCTTTCATCTCACAAGTTTCATATTTCCCCTTTCCCCGCGACTCTCATATGTCATCTTTGCCGTCTTCGCACCGAATTGTATAGCCCTCTTCCACAACATACTCGCATTAAACAAACCCAATCGCCTGGCCGCGTGTCGTAGAAGTAATTTCTCTCCAACGCCACGCGGAAAATGTGGATCAGTTTTCAAATGGATTGGAAGCGAGGAGAGATATGTGACCAACTGGAAGGAGAGGTAGGGGCAGCGAGATTCTTTACCATGAGATGAGATGATGCGATCGTCGCGGCCTTGGGTGACGAGGATTGAAGTAAAAATGCAGGTAAGGTATAAATTTGCATATCCGTCAATTATGCATACATATATATATATTTATAGAGGATACCTAGATTTCGCGTTGATATCCGGTTTATGTCTAATTGTATCTAAATTATTAATAAAGTATTGGCTTATAATGAATAAAATGGGCATTAACCAGTTTTGATATTGACACACAAATCGGTATTGTTATGACGCACTTCACTGATTAGTCGTGCCCAACCGCCATGTTTGAATGCTTCTCTATGTCGCGAATATCCGCCTAGTAATTCATCTGCTCCGATACCAATGAGAATGACTCTTGCTTTACTCTCATAGTCTATCATTCTTGTCCCATCCTCGGAGACTAGATGTCCTGAAAAAGCAAATGCTCATTCGTGTAAGATAAACAATGTTTTTTATAAACAGGTTTTTTCATGCTATTACCTTTCCCCCTTGAAGCAAACCAAAACGCCATTGCAATACTCTGAGTATATGGAAGAATTAAACTATTGATCGATTATCAAAAGAATCAAACAAAGGTTATCATACCAGATCCATGATGGTGTCAGATGGGTGCATAAGCTCCATGATTTCTTCTTTGTGAGCACAAGATTCTTCGTACGAGACATCGACTTCAATAAAATTCCATTTTCTCTTGGGTGATATTCTCCTGTTTATCAACAATCCGGGAAAAAGGAGAGAAAAAAAAAGATTTTTTTAAACTACTGAAAAAATTACCGTAGTCTTTTATTTTTTTTCCCTGACGACTCACCTGAGCTCTTCTACACCCTGTCTCCCGCTAATTCTATCTGGCACTTTGAAAATATCTTTCTCTTTTTCCTCTGATACTTTTCTCGACTTTCTTCCTTCAGCGTCAACTGATCTTGGGTTCTCAAAACCGACATTCAATAAATCAATTGGTTCATTTTCAGGTAAATATGTATCGGCCAAGGCGGCTAGACACATGCAGTCAATCCCTCCAGAGAATAATACAGCCACGCGTGGTGAAACCGTATGCGGAATATTTATTACACGAAGACGCACAGAATCTGATAGTAGTTCGAGGAAACGGTCAATCGCTTGCTGCATTTGAGGGTAAATTTCCGGAATCGCGTCCGCCCCATTGTGAGGATAATCAGACGTGGTTGGAATATAGTTGTTTATCGTGGATATTGGGGGATTCGACCAGGGATAATGCGTCACTGCGCTTGAAAATGAATCTGCGAAACTAAACGTATCTGGTTATTCATGATCGGGGTGTAATTATGGCTCAGAAAGACCAGAAGACAGGAATTGGTACCTGTTGAGAAAAGGCTATTGACGTCAAGACAATACAATCCGTCTGCAGGCACTTCTGTGAAAAAATCGTTTGGAGCAAAATTAGTACCGACTGATGTCAGCATAAATTGATCATCTGTCGACGTTGGTTTATGCCAAAGAAGCGATCTTCTTCCGAAATAGTCTCGTCCGAACCACAACTGTCGTGTTGAATCCTGTATAAAAATTTCGATTTAGTAAAAAAAAGAGAGAAAAGAAAAAAGAAACAAAAAAAATATTTAACACACATTCCAATAGATTATCGCAAATGGCCCTTCAACATTCGACAATACGCCTAATGCGTTGTCTATACTGTTTCTGGAAAGTAAAGTAGCACATAGACTCATTGTATCATTTGCAAATGGTTGAACCTGTTTTTATCAATGTATTCAGATCACGCATGTCGTAAACCTTTCTGACAATCGATAATCATTCCACACCTCAATACCGTCAAAAATTTCTCCATTCCATTGTAATACATTCCCCAAATCATCGACTATGGGCTGAGAAGTCACATTTGAACCTCTTAGATGTAAGACATACGCAACAAAGTCAAGACGCAGTGAAACGATTGATATCGTATGTTGTCCATGAGCATCCGGTCCTGCGAACGATTCGGGTTATCGATTGAAGCTAAAACAACGCTAGTGTTATCGGTATTAACTTAACCATTTATACCTCTTCGTTGATTCTGTTTGTTCAAATGGACCCAAATATTAGAGTAACTTTGATCATAGTCATTTTGGTTGATCAATCGAAAAGCAATTCCACACATTAGGGAACTGGAAAGAAAAAAAACCCTGCGGATTTCTTCTCAAACAGGCTATACTGATCATATGATATAATAGAGTCACGTGAACATATAAATATTTAATATTAATTAATTATTTAATTCTCAGATTTTAATTTACACCGCCAATTTAAAGCATTCAACCGAAAATTGATCACCGGCCCACTTTGCCACTTCTGCTATCAGTCTTTCTTTTCTTTGCAAACTTGTATCGCTCCTCAGTTCATATAGAATGCACAAATTAAAGAGTAATGGCTCACATACTCCGGCAGACTTTGGATGTCTATTAACTAAATCTTCAAGAAGCTTTACCGCCTGTATAAATATACGTTGGGAGAAAATAAAAACCAGACAGCATAATACATCAGCATCACATTGGTACCAGTATCAATATTATAATCAATTGTTACTGACCTCATCTGAATTACTAAGGTATAATTCACATACAGCATGGTTGTTAGCAGCCTTTGTGTTAAAAGTCTTTAGAAAGAGGACGACAATTCTTTGAATCGTGTCAGGTCAACGAGTCTACGTACCACCAAATTTTCTGGGTTTTTAGCTAAAATTTGATTCAGTATCTTCTTTGCCGCATTCCAATCTCTTTTGACAATGGCAATGAATGCACTTTTGATAATAAAAAAGAAATTTAGCACAAACATTAAGCGAAATGTAATAATTGTTATTAAAATAAGCCTCTTACCTATTCATCAAAACCAATTCGTTAGACGAATCACTACCAGAGGATTTTGCTAATATCTCGACATTATTAAATAGTTCTTCAGCGCTGACAATATTGCCAGACTATAAACAAACGATATTAGCATTGAACGTTGAGCATTGCTGCTGGGAATAGAAATCTGTAAATAATACCGAATGTACATATTTTAACCCAATAACTTACTTGCAAATGTAATCTTGCCAACCCAGTTAGTAGGTTAATGTCGTCAGGAAACGACTGCAAACATTTTTCCATCAGAGATATTGCTGCTGGATAATCCTATTAGTTGAAAATGGTTATTCGTGTAGGCAAACAAAGAATCAACGTACAAAAACATGCAAAACAGTTATAGATACGAACTTTCAATTCAAGTAGATAGTTCACGACTATTAACATCAATCGTCCTTCTCGTAGTTGCCACGTTTGTAATTCACGCTTGGCTACATAGCACAAGACAGTATAAATAACTTGCGCAATGTAGTCCGTAAGAAATAATCAAATCATGCTGGATGTCTACCTTCATCTGTATCAAGTGTACTAAACTCTTTGACCATCTTTAAATCATAATTAACATGGTCAGTGATCAGAATTCAAATTTACATCTAGCGCAACACCCCACTATTGCCACATACCTTTCGACAGTCAAAAATTAATCTAAAAATACCATCGATAGCATCACAAATATTTCCTTGATATCCAGTCAGTCTAGCTGCTAAAACTCTCATCTCGAATGGCACCATAGATCCCTTTTTCTCATCAAACATGCCTTGCCATCTGGGATGTTCATAGTTCAGTTCTGCCCTTTGAAGATCACCGAGTTTGGTCAGTTCAGTCATCGCCAGTTTATAATGTTTAAGTTTTGTTAATGCTAGTAGACGGACATGCCAAAACTTCAGTGGGCATAATGTTTCAATGGAAAAAGAAATAATAATAATACCAAAACCTGGATAAGTTTACAATAGTTTGGTCGGAAAAACATACAAATAATTTAAGAAAATTTACTTCAATTATTAATTCTACTTCGCTGGGATCGCTTAAAATTATTTGGTCCTTGGCCAAGTTTGCTACTGCTTTCCATGAATTATTGATCTAGAATTTTCACAAAGGAAATATCAGTTATTATGTTCTCCTCTACTATTTAGATTGTTACAATATATAATAAAAGCGTATTCGATTCATCCCCTTGCAAACTATCAGCTGCAATGTTTTGCTCTACCAATGAGCAATTTGAATTACTTACTATTAACTTCTCTAGCGCGTCCTCATCGTCTGTGTCAATCCCTTTAGACGTGTCTCTTTGTGGTCTGGATTCGGGCGGTATGTATTTTTCCAGTATTCCGGTGAATTGATCTGCCTGATGTATAAAAGTTGGGAGAGTGAGACTGTATGCTGCGAGTAAACCTGATTACAATATCATACTATATATTACCTGAGGAATTTCAGTAAACAGTGACGGCGATGTCCACTCGAACAGCCCTTGCATGCCCGATCCTGTTCTTTCAAAATCAGATACCTACCATTCATTAATTTGAACAACCATAACCAGAACATCTTCCTAATTTTATTATTCCGTTCATTTTGTTACCACCCATAGCTAATTGACCCCTACTTTTAGATTCATGTACCTTCCACCATTCTGACTTCGCCTCTTTTTCTTGATGTTGGATGTAGTCTCAATCGCAGTAAACTCTATAGAAGAATTCTCTTGGGCAATGCCAACATTGGTTTGTACATCGGATGACAGTTGATTTACAGCCGGATTTTGATCGTGGTCTCGATCTAATAGACTTTGATTTCCATTTCCACTCTCACTGTTTCTTCTACTGGTCAAATCAACCAATTGTGAAATGTTTGACGTCGTTCTCAAATGGCTCTTTTCTCCCATCCTACCAAAAATTTGTCCATCAGCATTCGCTATTTTTTCTTCTTTTTGCTCTAGTTCCAATAGACTTTCATCTTTTAGAAATTCAGCAACTTGTAACTGTTTGTGGTCATCCCTGATGGGTGATAATGGACCAGGAGGTGGGGGAAGCGGTTGGATAGCATGAATTAAGGATTGAGGCGGAGGTGAGGTAGAGGGAGATACGGGTAAAGAGAGGGAAGCATTATCAGACATTTGGTTCTACTAAGGTGATATATTGTAGAGAATGATTTTGTGTCCAGTATAATGTAGAGAAGGAAATAAATTCTGAGAGGAGTGATCGTCACATGATTGACAAACGGAGCAATCATGACATGTTGATTCAACATTGTTTTGGCAAATTGCTGCCAAAACATCAGTCCGCGGCGCAAGAAATACTTGTGTCGCTTGAAGTCAAAGAACGTTTGCAATCAAATTACTGCGTTTGCGTTGTTGGTAGTACTAGTACTTGATTATGCGGTTATCAAACTACAATATTAATACTGTAACATAAATACTCTTTATCTAGTCCGAATCAGCATCGCAGGTCGTTGAGATTCATGAGCCTGCAATTAATGCGACCAGTAATACAGAGTTCATTTGGACACAATAACGAGGATGAGTGAACGTATGGCTTATTCCTATGACAAACGATCGTTCTGAATTCAAATCATTCGTTCTTATATTAAATAAACAGCTGGAAGTTAATACATTAATAACTTGTACTATTACAACGCACAAGACGTAGAAATCGTTTGGTACTATTATTAGCTTTCAAACTTCTTAGTTCGTTTTAGCGCTGTTACATAGTTGGCGTTGAGTTGCAAGCAACCTCTGTGCTGTATGTCATACTCATGATTCGAGGAATAATTAATTTACCGGATGAAATTTAATTAATAAATTCGATTGATGTGAGTTATTACAACCAATTATAAAAGAAAGAACTGCTGCCAATCCTGGTTACTTTTAACGCTGCATATGATCATACGATCCGAAATCGCATGCATATGCCCAAGTTATGGGATCCGAATTAATCACGCGTTTGAAGGGAATATATCATCATACGATCAAAAATATGCCTATGACATTGAAATTACGGTGATGCAGAAGGAAAAGGATCAAACCGTCTTTGGCAACGATATATTAATATGACCAAACAAAATAAATAAATAAAACCTTTGTTTGACTTTATTAATATCAATGTATTAGTGAATCCTTTCCAGTATTGTCGATTACAAGTTCCTTTTTGATCAATCATTCTTTATCAAAATCTCTAGCTATGCAAGTGATAATTGAAATTGTCTGTTGTTACGTAGATTTCATTGATGTCTCTGTATGGTTTGTAAGAACAAATTGTGTCATGTCCAATCACGAGATCGATTTCCGAGTTACCCGTTTATGAAAGAATAATTAAATAGTTAAAATAGGTGCAAAATCAAATGCAAATAAATGTCAATGTTTATAACGCTCTGGCCATCTACCTTGAACCGTATGCGAATTTTAAGAACCTTAATTCTGTGCTTTATAAACCCCGTTCTATATATATAGACAAGTAACGGTCTTGGCTGTTGCCATGTTACTTTTAACAAAAGATCTTGCTGTTACCAATTTATAGACTAGCAAGCTTTTGATCATACACTGTACATGATATCACAACTATGTAATGAATGCCCTTGCCCAAAATAGTTTGTGATACGGCCCTTGCGAGGGTTCTTCTTACAGGATCATGTTTGGGTAAGATCCACTATTCCTTTAATTAACTTTTTATAGTAACCGCTTTTGTAACACAGAATAGTTCGTCATATCTAATTGCAAGTATAAATAGTAATAATAGTAGACTTTAATTTTAGGAATGCCAAGAGCTTTGTATTCGATCGTTCAATGAGTTTGATGGGTAATTGTTCATACTTGACCGTATTAATATTAATATTAATATAAATAAAATTATTAATGCGCAGTAAAGACGCTGTGGGATAGATGTTAATTAAAATACTGACTCTGAAGTATTGACTATAGACGAATGATCATATCAAATATACTTAATTTACGTTATAAAAAGCCATTCTCTATTACAATTGTATCTTAATAAGTATCCATTTATATAAGTAATTCAACTCGGTTTACGGAAAGTTCTTCCGAGGAGCATGTCCTACTATTGCTATATGTATAATTAGCTGTTGATCTGGTTGGCTGACAACGGGTTTGTTTTTACCGAAATTTTAATCTTGATAAGAATAGGTTAATGGTAAGTGTCATTTGGTAGTCGATCATGACATACACGTCCGCGTTATCAGAGAGATACGAAGAAGGGGTGGGTTTGTTATAAAGTATAAAAATATATATCGTTTAGGGTTTAATTTATGCGCAGTACTAAAAACGGATATATCTAAAAACATCCTCCAATTATACTCGAAACTAAATAAAGCAACATGTCCAAGATAATCAAGATGCGACAACGAAATTGGTAATCACTTTCCCCGGTGAATTGTTTGGACACTTGAAAAATAGCTTTGCGTATGTGTCACAAATAGCAGCGTCAGAGGAATATTCCTTGCTGTGAAGTTGTCGAGTAGATAAGACTCATGTTTGTCCTAAAAGTTCAACTCTGGTGTTGCACGTAAATAAGACGTACAACGGTCTTTGGTTGGTATAGAAATATCAGTTAGTTTCTCGGTTGTAATGCAAAAATGTCGGATGTTTGTACGGTGACCTATAAATAATAATCTATAAAATGAGTATCTATATTTGGTAAGGTCTCGCTCATAAAGACTTTATTATATAAATATTTATACATTCTAAATTTGTGTAACACCGTTTCATTATACTCAGTTGGATGAATTTGGCTATCACAACTTTTTCTCCTTTATTTTCTGGAATAGTGTTTCATATATCAACGCTCCTTACTCCTTTCTTTTCATTCTTCTCTTCCGTTCTTCCCCTTTAGCTGTCAACACCCCACAGCTGGTCTTGAAACCCGCCGTCATCGAAACCATATATATAACTCACAATAATTAATACTATAATTATTGTGACTGTATATAATACGTAATTCATAATTATCAACTTGCAAAACCGTCCCAATGGTCTTGTTTAGATCTCTAGCCGTCTATTTTCTTGTTGCTTTTCTTTCGCAACCACATTCTTCATACGCACAGTACGACAGCGGTGATGGCAGCGACGGTGGGCCTTCTACAGTTGTCGAGACACCAGTATGGAAGTGTAACGGTACCGCTCTCACGCAACGCACCCTCGATGGGACGTGCAATAATGTCAAAAATTCTAACTGGGGAGCCGTAAACAGACCTTTCTCCAGAGATGGTTTCCAGCCAAACTATGCACCAAACACTAACAACACACCATGGATAGATATCGATGTTAGGATGATATCTAATGCTCTGGCAAGCAACGGACAACCACCTAACTTTGTTGGAAATCCCGTTGGGGATGACATACTATCGACAACCAGAAAATCAATGTTCGAAATTGTGAGTATTACATGCCGTATTAAAGAAAATGTGCTAGAGCTGTATCGCTTAGTAGTTGAAGTTACCATGAGACTGATCGAAATAGCGATTTGTCGCTAGCTGCAACATTATGTTTGATTAAAATCATTATAGGCATACGTCCTCAAGTAGTAAAATCACATTCGATTTTCGGCTCAAATCTAACGTCTTTCATCTTTATTGTAGTTTTTTGGCCAATTTGTTAATCACGATCTCGAAGAGGATGCACTTGATACTGGTTCTGCGCAAACACAAATTGCCAACGTGTCAAATGACCCAATATTCTACAATGCACAAGATAATCCATGGAATGCAAACTTTGTTCCATGTAAGTCGACTAATATAATACTATTTAACGGAATATCAAACGGTTACTTGCTTAACGATTCATTACTCGAGACAATGTTCTGACGCATCCTATTTCTACTCCAAACACTACTTCCCTTCTCTCATGCAGACATGTCACTATCACCATCATTGGGCAACATAATAAACGGACATTTTCTTTCGTTTACTCACGGCAATGCATTTCTGGATTTATCAACCATATACGGGAATAGCATAACTCTCAATGACAAATTGCGCACAAAGAAAGATGGTCTTCTTCTTACTAAAACCTATTACGGCAATGGCGGTGCATATAACACAGACATCAAGAATGTCTCACTTCCAAATTATCCTCCCTCTGCGTTCGACACAGGAGTTCTCCCCAATCTTGCCGCCCCTACCATCGATGACAGAGAGGCAATGATTAGCGGAGACACACGCTGTTCAGAAAACATACAATTATGCCTAATACACACGATATGGATCAGAGAGCATAATTACCAGGCAGGAGAGCTCAAGAAAAAGAATCCAAAAATGAGCGACGAGGAATTGTTCCAAGCTGCCAGACGATGGGTTATTGGCGAATATCAACACATAGTGTTTGAAGAATATCTTCCAGCAGTATTAGGTTTCAAACTGCCGCCTTACAAAGGATACGACCCTAATTTGCCCCCGGAGACCTCTGTCAATTTTGCCTCGGCTGCGTTCCGATACGGACACTCCGTCGTCAGACCGTATACCATCATCGATGGATGCAAAGATCAACCAATCTTTCTTCACCCTTCATACCAGTTCCCAAATACGAACCCGAATCGTTTCTACTTTCTTGGAAAATCTCTGCCCATTCCCGTAGACAGACATTCTTACTTGGATGCTGGGAGTTTGGATTATACGCCGTCAAGAATGCTGGCTTTGGCTTCGGGATCTGAATACGGAAACGGAATGGACAATATCATTGTTAGTATGCTTAGACAGAGGACGGCTGAATTTGATATAGAAATTACCAATGCTTTAAGAAATGCGCCCATGGTTGTTGATTTATATGCTTTCGACATTGCAAGAGGTAAGCTGGAAACATTTTAGACATACAATAGTAACTAAGACGAAGGGTTTGGAGCGTCAAACATTTGTTCCATTAGAATACTCTTGTTATTTTTTTTTAGATTATTAATCTGGACCACTCACGCTGTATCTGTTCTCTTTCTTACCACAAATTTTTTATATAGGCCGACTGAACGGTGTTCCACCGTACAACGAGCTCCGTAAAAAATTCCATCCTGCCGGTGACCTCTATTCATACGATGAATGTAAAGCTGCTGACGCACAAGACTCCATTGATTGTTTCAAACTAATCACTACCAACCTTACAATCGCCCAAAATCTCCAAAATATTTACGGCAAAGTTTCAAAGATTGATGCCGTTGTCGGAATGTTTGCAGAGGAAAAATCACCCAATGTACCACTTCCGCCAACTATTACTAATATCTTGAGAAATGAATTTGAGATTAAGCGACAAGCAGATAGGTTTTGGTATGAGGGTGATACTTATACGCAAGAGGAACAGGACGCATTGAAGAAAGTGACGATGAAGGAGATTATTGAGAGAAATACAAACGTTTTTGATGTGCAAATAAACCCCTTTAAGGATCCTGGGCCGAATGATACGATCGGTGAGTAACGAGAATTGAGATTTCTTTTAAATACAGTGATTTTCAAATATATTTACATTTAATGTCTGCTTTTACCAATAGCCAAAGCTAAATGCTCAACAACCAGCAACTACGTTCCATCAGTTCCGAGTTTAGGATCTGGTTCCGGTGGAACATCAGACGGATCATCCGCCACCGGACTGGACTCAAAGCCACGTGTTTCATAACGTCATGTGTAATCCAAAAGACATTAGAATGTAACATCACTGCATATTTAGAATGTAATTTCATTATTTTTCGTGGGTGGTAATATTATATTGTTTCATGTACCTTTTCTTAATTCGAGCGATTGCGACAGATCATACATGTATTGTTAGTAACATCATTGTCAAGTCAGAATAAATTCTCATTAGGGAAGAATTCTTAATAGATTAAACTGAGTGTGGGCGTGTTCAATCGGAATAAAATCTAGTTTGAAAGCGCTGTGGTACACTTGTGATATCAGTTATTTAAAATCCGAATGACCGGGACAAAGATATACCTTGGTTAGGATCAGAAGGTGCTCGAGCAAAGTCTCAAACCGATCACCCAATATTTTATTTAAGAAGACTAGCATTGGGAACTGCGAATAAAAAAAAATCACTTGGTCGTTTAGCATAATAGATGAATACAGTTGGATTTTTAGCAACGATCCTCTCCGGGTTGGTAAGATGAGCGTCTGCAACTGATGATTCCATTAATGTAAGCACTTGCCTAATGTACATATGCAATTAAACCCCAAAAAAATGGACAAACTGCATTTTTTTAATGTTAATCACATGACCACAAGTACAAATATCTCGAATGGTATAAATTTGCATTAAATGGCCACTCTCAAATCTGCCCTCCTTGCATCAGCAATCGCACAAAATTACTCTGCCTATGATCAATTATTATCTCTATCGTCACCTTCAGATTCGATTGCATTCTGGGATGACGTTGTCCTTACTGCAAGCAATGAACATCAAAAGGGCGTTTATGAGAGGAAAATTGCCGAGTTGGCTGAGGAGAATCAAATACCCGGCTGGGTTAGGTATGTTGTGAAGGCTGGATGAAGCGTATATGGTGGTGGTGGGGGGGGGAGGTTCTTTTTGATAGATCAAATGGAAAAAGCGAGCATTCGAAAAGAACAGCGAAAACCAGTTGTTTGAAAATTTTGGATGGAAGGGGATGGTATTTGAAAATCATTTTCTTCTCCTCCTCTAGGTTTCATGTCGTAGACGATCCACCTCGGTATAAAATAGGAAGCGGTGGGTCTACCCTGTTGGTACTAAAATATCTTGATGATATCTATGGATCGGACCTTGATTCGAGTACGTTTACAAGTTACCGATAGAACGTTGCGTTTCTCTCTACTTAACGCATTCTTTTATCAGGGAAAATTCTTTTAATTCATGCTGGTGGCTATTCAACGCGATTGCCTCATGTCAGTCCAATCGGAAAAATCTTCTTGAACTTGCCCGCGTTCGGTAACGACTTTCTTTTTTTTTTCTTTTTTCTTTTTGCAAAATAAGACTTGACTACACATTAAATTATGTGATTAACTAGGCGGACCAAAGAACTGCATGCCAATGTTAGTGCTGAAATTGATAATGTATATTGGCCTAATTAGACACTTGTCGCCTGGCGTAAGTCATCAAGTTGCTGTGAAACAATGCATTGGATAAGAGATGCCTAATAATCTGTATTCCCTGTATGTAGGTATTTCTCACAAGTGCAGACACTATTGAACTAATAGCTATGCCTGGTAATTAATTTCAAAAATGTGTTTGACTTGGAATTGTTCATTTCAATTCTGCGTTTGATTTTCTTTCACAAAGCTGGAAAACTCCAATTCGATCTCATAATCCTTAACCAAATCTTAAATCTATCTATAAAGAAAATGGGTTCACAATTTCAAGCCCTGGCTTTATTGCTTTGGCGCATCCGTCCTCATTGACTATTGGAACAACCCATGGTGTTTATTGTATAGATGATCCAAAAGGCGAGTGTACGGCCGAGGTGAACAAACTACCGGAAGAAAGAAGACCGATTTTGAAGAAATGTGATAAATTTTTGCATAAACCGACAGTCAAGAAAATGAGGGAGCATGGTGCCATAATCGAGGATCAGGTATTACACGAAGTATATATGGAGAAGGCAGGACTGGTGATTTAATTTTTCTACCTCTTGCTAGAACGGAGAGGAATTCGTATATACGGACAGTGTCTATTTCTTCGATCACAATTGTAGCAAAGTGTTGCTGAAGGTAAAATTATTATTAACCGCCCCCAAAATGTCAAAATGTTGCAAAGTCGATTTGGCCCATTGTCACCAATGTATAACAATAGATTACATGTTGCAATCACATCAAGTTTACAACTTTTTTTCTTTTACTTAGATATTATCCCAAATCCAACCGCTTACATATGAATTGGAAGCCTGGTCAGATTTCCTCCCATTTGGTGCACATACGCCATGTCCTCCTTCCGCGGATTACTCTGTCCTTGCTGATCCTCTCTCAAGGGCCCGTTCAACTATACTCAGGACGCTTCAAACATCAAACATATCCCTCTCTGTTCTAGTTTTGAACTCTTCCAAATTCTACCATATAGGAACAATGCAGGAATACATTGAATGTTGTTGCATCAATGAGGAATTCCAAACAGAAATGCAAATTCGATTCAAAGGGAATTTGAAAGGTGTTTGTGTGATGGGAGGAAATGAAGATGCATGGTCCGAGAATTACCAGAATTTTGTCGAAAGTGTACCTCCCGCAATCTTGGAAAATGTAAAGGTAGAAGAGGAAGGAGAACATACAAGAAATCAAGGGAGAATCGGATGTCATTCAATTCTAGTCAATGTCAACTTGACACCAGGAGTGGATATACCTGATTATACATGTATGTTTACTATGAAATGCCATATTCCTTCACAACAAAAGCCTTTCGAAAAGCTTCCAACAGCTGTTTCCAAGTACGGCTATGTGACATTTATCTTTTCCACAAAAGATGACATGAAAGCTTCACACTCATTGGAGACTCTTGGGATATTTAATAATGTACCTGTAAACCGAGTTTTGCATCCTAGTTGTGTTATTAATGATACAGATGAGATTGCACTATGGAATTTACCCATGTTTCCGATAATGGAGACAAAAGAAGAGTCTGTGAAATGGGCATTATGGATTATTGATAGAATAGTAAGTTGGAAGGATGGTACAAAAGCAGAAGATGGTTTGGGGCGCGAAAAGCAAATGATTCATTATGCAAAGCCACTTGCATTTGTGTCTTTGAAGATGGGTGTGGAGCTGTTTGAATAATTTTAGTATGGGAATGTTATATCTCATGAAGTTAATATTAATATGTGAAATAAAAAGTTTAAAACGAGTTTAAAATGAGACGGGCTGTTAGCGACACCACAAGGCAGGCTATTCGCTTGGAATTTCTTTTTCAAGTGCTGGTTGTAAAAACAGACTTTTCAATGTGCTTCTTATATGCATTATTTGGCAAAGACAAGTTTGGAGAGGGTAATCGAAGTAACAGTAGTGATAATTATAACTTTTTTGACGCTCGTTCAACGGGGTTGAGTGCTAAGAAATTGCAGAAGCAGATTATTCCATAATCCTTGGAAATATCATAAACTTCATAAATGCGCCACGTTGACGGCTATAGTTGACAATTTGCACGTATCAAATTTTTAGTTCGTACATTGGATTGATTATATCATTGAAGTTATTATCCGTTCGACATCTGTCGTAACAATGTTTGCTTCAAGTCGACGGCAAGAATCGTTTCGCATTGTAGCCTCTCCCAATTGCAGACTTTATTCATAAATATTACTACAAACCATAAATTCTTCATGTGACAATGATATGTTTTCTGACACGTCGAGGAACAATTACTTCCCAGAGCGCGTGTTGCAAATTCTAATTGTTGAAGTTCAAGATGCAACAATTATAGTTAAATAATATTTTGACGAAAGAATATCCATTGCAAATATAACGCTTGAAAATCAAGAACTTGGACGCGAACAACGACCATATTTGAAGTAGACGTTCGATTGAATTCTAAATCGGTGCTGATCGTCGATTCCTAGGAAAAAGCCAAATTTATATTTGTCCTTTACCGGTCTCATCAGGCTTTAGTCAGTCACTTGGCACTATCCAGATCCTCAGCTCGCTCTGAAAAAAGAAAAGCCATACTTGTTGCAAATGACTGTGGCGTGGAACCGTGGCATCCATCTGTGGCGTCATGTTCAACCATAATAAATATCCATCTCTTTTCACAGGATAACAATTCGGAAAAAATCATGCGAACTAAATTTCGCCCATGCATTGATCTCCATAACGGAAAGGTTAAACAGTTGGTTGGAGGAAGTGTGAACGAGAATTCTCCAGAGACATTGAGGACGAATTTTATATCAAAGTATTGACACCATCGTCGTATACCGGAAACTGTCATCGTAAAAACGCTGCCCATTTGCTGATTTTTCTTAATATAACATTTCAGCGAGCCGGCAGAATATTATGCAAAACTGTATAAAGATAATAATTTGAGAGGAGCTCATATAATAAAGATTGGGCCGCAAAATGATCTAGCTGCTAGAGAGGCATTGAAGAGTTGGCCAGGTGACATGCGCCGTTTCTTGTCTCAGAAAATTGTTATTTGGATGGCGATTATATTAGTTGGCTGTGCAAAGATACTGTTATATAGTCAACTTGAATAAACCAGTTTATAATGGCTAAGGCTTGCGATAGCCGTTATCTTCAATTCTTGTTATGTGATGTTGCCAGGTTATAAGGACCAGTTAAAGAAGGGGTTCTTACTATATAGATCAAGCTGACTCTGGGTGCTTGTAATAAATATTACGCTCGCAGGTGGACTACAGATCGGCGGCGGAATATCTCTCGATAATGCCCAGAGATGGATCAGTCTTGGTGCCGAAAAGGCAATTATTTTCATTACTCTCGATTTGCTGAACGTATGGATTTTTAACCTCCAACTCTAAATTTTATCAGGTGATTGTTACATCGTATCTCTTTCCGGATGCCAAGTTCTCTCTTGATCGTTTAAAAGCACTTTCAGATGAAGTAGGAAAAGATAGATTAGTTGTCGATATCAGGTAGGTTTGGGCGATGGTTATTCCATCCGTTCGCGTATTCTATATATGTGATACGTTTACCTTTGGAAACCAGTTGCCGTAAACAGGACGCCAAATGGTTTGTCGCAATGAACAAATGGCAGACTATCACCGACATGGAAGTCAATAAAGGTAAACGAGAACTTTTGACATTGTGGCAAGTTGACTGTGTACCAAGAAGTTGTAAATACTTAGTGAGAAATCTACAGAAACGCTTGATTTATTGTCCAATTTTTGCAGGTAAAAGTTTTTGACTTATTGATGAAGAAGAGGCATACGGGGATCGAGCTGGCCTGTAGCGATAACTTTTTTTTTTCAACATCTTAGTGAGTTTCTAGTCCACGCAGCTGATGTCGAGGGCTTATGTCAGGGAATTGATAGAGAACTTGTTGAACGTAAGAAGTCCAGGGATTGAATTTAAAAAGGTTCAATTAGATCTAGTTAGTGAACTGCTTATTTTTTAGGGCTCGCCGAATGGACAACAATTCCGACGACGTATGCTGGTGGCGCAAATTGTATGAAACTTTTTTTGATGCTTACAATGTCATATTTTGTCATTATTGTGAATCTTGACTTTTTTCCTTTTGTCAAATGTTTAGCAATAAACGACCTTGAATTGGTCAATGCACTGTCGAACGGAAAGGTTGATCTAACGTTCGGAAGGTATGCAATTTAACAAATTCCGTAACGATGATTCGCTTATACGTCTTTAACGCGTGTCTCCTATTGTATATAGCGCGCTCGACATATTTGGTGGAACCCAAGTCAAATTTGCGGATTGTGTTGCATGGAATAATCAAGAGTGAATCAACATGCGGAAGAGACACGTTACTGAGCGAAAATAAAGACAAGTCATAATGTGCGCGAAGAGGGATATTTCAGTATATGCTTTATGTAAACAATTTGGTGTTTCACAAGTAATGATTATGCAAGAATACCTTTTGTGTCCTAGAGAAAAAAATACCATTTCCGTTTATTATTTATAAAATCTTGACGGCCCGTGCTGTGAATCAAATCAACCAAGTGTTTTTACCATTTAATATCGTATATTCCAAAAGCGAAATAGAAGTTAATAGGCATCTTGACTACCAGTTGCCCACAAAGTGTTTATGATCTTGCGACGTTGTCAACGCAAACTAATCAAATAAATCGCGCGATTCACCAATTATGTGAACGTGTATTTTAGGGAAAAAAAAATAGTGTTTTTTCATTCTATCACGAAACCTTTTTTTTTTTTTGCACATTCTAATTGAGGAGCTCAGGGAAAAATTAAGTGTGTAGCTACAACAAGATGGAATTCTGCAACAGAACGACCTTATTTATCTGCTTCTCTTATTCTTCAAGTGAAGGAGAGGCATTCGTATAAATTAATATATTTAAATAGTTTTGTTGTCATAATAGGAAAATATATGCATTGAATTACAACTTTTCCCCAGCAGCTGGTTTTAAATTATATAAAAGAGTTGAAATGACTAATGCTACTTTATAAAAATAAACCTGGTTATAAAGCAACAGACGTTATAATTTACGTATGCAATGACTCGCTTATTCCGTCAGAATTTAATATCATATCAATGCAGAGGGAAATCGGAGACTTTTCGTGCAGTCATCTTAATGATTAAATAATTTTAACCATCACGTAATAATTAATTAACAACGACACACAATGAAGTGAATTTACTTCAAGTGTCACGTATGATAATTTATCTGATGTTACACGTAATGTTTCCCAATAGTAATAGCTTATCTATTCAAACTACAATGTCAATTAAATTAAAAATTATAGTTATTTGCATTATCTCGACGGGTATCTTGCAATCAATAGGGTACTCACTACAAAAACTGCTGTTTTTTTATTAGAATTATATAAAATTGTTTTCAACAAGCAAATTATTAGATGCGAGTTAAATAACAGGCATTAATGCAATGGTCGAAGAGAAATTTTCAAAGTGGGACTGAGAATAGACTTACATCTAATTAATTTGTTCACCCGTTTTTAGTTATCGTGCACTGAACTAAGCAAACAATCGATGTCAGTGTACGTTATAATCAACTAACGTCATTATAGCAGGTTTATAAAATGTTCCAGGAAGTGTAAACGGAGTTTATTTACAAATAATAAGCAAAGACGGCAACTCTGATTTCGCTCTTCAAGATAAGACTGTTGAATCAAGATATTAATCAAATGACAAATAATATCGAATATCAGGATTAACTGTCGCGTACGCATTTCGAAATAATAATAATCAGCATAATGCATCGTATAAAATTACTGTCTCTTCCTAGTTAGAGTTATTGCAACGCAAACATGTCGTCTTATTAAATACCGACCAAAAGACACTCCATCATTCTCTAGCAATAAAAGACGACATTATTTTATTGAATCAAATAACGAATGGCATTCAACCGTGTGGCGCTGATAATTATTGTTGACTATGACACCTGCTTTGTGAAAGTGACAGACAACTGTACGATAAATTTTTAGATTGTCGTTATTCAATTATGTATTCAAAATATACGAAAAAATAAACATGTAAAAATCGATTAAATAATAATAAAAAAGCCCAATGTTGTTCTTGGTTGACAAAGGTTAACCTTACCACTATTAAGAAAACACACATGATTGGATGACGATACAAATGTTAAATCAAACTACATTTCAAAAGCGAGAGATGCGCTAAATCGAGTTTTAGAATATTATAACAAATTATGTAGATTTAGCTTTTAATTACAATTATTTGTATCGCTATATTTGAACTTACAGCATAAAAAAAAGTTATTATACAAGGAATAAAATTATTTGGTGTGGCTTGCTTCTTCTTTTCAATACTCTTTGTTAGTACGCCTTCTATGACTCTGTAAAATTTTCATCACGGTTGTGCTAATTTCGAGTTCTCATAATTTGATTTTGTTTACAAGAAGGTTTTAAATATTACGCAAATAATAATAATAAAATATTAAATTGTACAATTTAATTGGCTAGCAATTTTTATTACTGTGATTTTTTCTTACACGTCGCAGGATAAAAAAAGACTTTCATTTTATGCATCGCGGGTGGCGATTCGCGGCATTACGCCGGTAAATGTATGGAAGTGCTGTGCTGTGCTGTTAATACACTTTAATATGGCAATTAATTGGTTGAATATAGAACTGGCGTATGGTACTTTTTGGGTTGCATCCATTATATAGATTATTAACCAAATCCAGTATATCCGTTATATCTAGTTTCATTGTGTATGTGAACAACAACGCTCTAGTTGTATGCACCAGAGACACACACTTACGAGCTCATAACTACTCACCTCTGAGTTGTAAAACTTGCACTTCTAGTCGCATTAACAATAAATAAAGAGTCCAAGTCATTGTATAAAGTAATTATTTTTGTTATATATTGATATTGGGAAGGAAAAAACTCTGCCAGTAATATGATTTTATTGCGTAAAAATAAACGCGCCAGGAAAACGTACTGGCAATTAAAATGCGCAAGTTATCGGTTTATATTTACTGTGAATATGGATATTTGCGCAAACAAGCGGAACAATTTCGTCGGTCAAGTTTGTACCCAGCCAATAAACTGCAAATGTCGAATCACGTCGGCTTGCTCTTCGCTTTAGCCTCTCCGAGATTATTTCCCTAACTATGCGCGATAATTTTGATGCCAAACATTTAATAGAATTGACGACAAGTTCAATCCATCCGTAACCGACAAAAGCGATGCCAGTGAATATATTTATCACGGGCTTGTATTAGAATTTAAAAACTATTCTAATGCAAATGTCATAATATGCCATGCGCATTAACGTTAACAGAAAACATTAGCAATATTATGCTTTTGACTTTAAAACTGTTTATTAAACTGCACTATTGCATTCGTACGTACATGAGGGGTGTCGAATATGATTGATTGCGCTGAAACATTGGAAATGTGATTGGACAACATGTTGATTGGACGATTAGTTGTTTTACCTTATTACGGTTAGATTTGCGGCACTTGCCAAAAAGAATTTAGCATCCGAGTGCAATCGATATACTAATTCTTACAGTAGTGTCCGACAAGAGCCGGGCTTATGAGAAAGACATTCTTGTTCATATGGTTTGATTTTGTAGATTTGATGATAAGCGTCTTCAAAAATGAATGCGCCGCAACTAATGAAAAATGCATGGTTAATTGTTTGCCAATAAAATCACAGTTTTTTTATTGTAAAGATTCTTGGCATTCGGGATTCATGCGAATCGGAAGAACTTTGCATAATAATGTATGGATGGATTGGTGAAAGCAATATTAACATTTTATATTTAATATGATGATTGCTGAACGGAAATTTCAATTTCCCTGTATGATAGACTTTGGCCCAAAGAAAATAATTACGTATATATACAGCTAGCGTATTCTGGTCGCCATGTGTTTGATGTACGCCAGTGCGTTGTGCACAAGATACGACAAAGAATGAACGGTAGTGCACAATGATTGCATGACAGTCTTTGTATTTCCATCACATGCCCAATCTCATGAAAATACAAGTATTAATCACCGTAGCTATTAAAATAGATTTTGAATGAAGTTGGGATTATGCATTGATATGTCGTATTATTCGAGATTATGCATGAGTCGAAGTTTAAAACATCAAAATACAACCAACTTGATACTTTCAAACATTGCAATACGAAGTATCCATACTAACAAGTTTATGGAACGCAAAATCAGTTAGCAAGTAAGACATGTTCAGAATAATAACAATATGTTTTTATATACTTATCTGATATCATTATTGCGTATATGATGCGTATATGTAATATCCAGGTAAAGTAACTGTGCACAATCAATGATATCAAGCTTTGTTTACCCGAATAACAATTAGTCTTACAAAAGAATGCTTCAAAAACAGATAATACCGGTTTTTTAAAGGCAATGAACAACGACGCACCAAAAGCCGTCGATAAGGATTGTATATTTGTCTCTTGAAGTTGGGTTAGTAAACCAAATTTAATTACGCGGACAGAGACTCTTGTTCAATTGAATAAAACGACCGTTTAAAAGTGTTATTCGAAACAACAAAAGACTTTTATATTATTTACGACAATTCCATACTTATAGACAGTCTGACTGACTTGACCATAACTCGCCTATGTCATTAGTATGCAGGCATTTGGCTAATGAAAGGCTTGTAAATCTTTACCTGCAGAGTATCTTTTTACCTGTTTAATTTTGCTTAAAACGTATCCAAGTTGAGAATTTAACGTAAGGGGTTTAAGGGAGATGTCCCTGACTCCCGTGTAGCAATTCAGGGTTACTACAACTGGTAAAATAAAAAAGATATGGTTTGGCTACTGCTTATCAATCAGGGATTGTCATGAGATTACGTTTTCAACAGAACAGTGATTAATATATGCCAAAGCAGATGTTTTTAAATTCAACGGGAATTAATATCAAAATATAACAATAATATTTTGCATGTCACGTGATATAGTCGGTACAAATGGATCGCTCCATGCTATAAGAATGAGCCTGTTCTGCTCGTTGATACCTTCGTATTATTCTTATGGCAATAGATATAAGGATATTTAAGGAGAACTCAAGGCCATACAGATATAACAGATATGGTTCTTATTATATCCCTTGTGCTGAGCTTGAATAACAATGCCCGAACAGTGGCAATATGTGTCGCACAAGACCGAAAATGCATGCAAATCTGACGCTCATATCGTTATCGTTATCAAGGCGTTTGTGATATAAAAAAAAAAAAAGAAACATACTAACGATATTCTTGGGATATTGCCTGTCTGATGACTAATCAATTGATAACCAGTGCCGGTATATGAGATAACATGACGTTCCAACGAATAGAATCATTCTAATTGAAAATTTGTCTAAAAAAACTTGAAAAATTGGCCGAGTACATTGAATGCAAGTACATCTAATTTCTACTCTATGCCCCTGCGTTTATCACTTGCTTGTTTCAGAAATTTGTACAACAATCTCAAGAATCAATAAACATTGTAAAAAAAGCAAGATTGGATCTCACGTGTAACTGTTCTTGGAATGTTTCAGCTATAATAATAATGGCGTAAAGAAAAAAAAAGGAATTTTATGCAAGACCAAATGTCTCACTAAAGTTTCTTCATGTTACTGTATAATCTTTTATGTAGTCCTATTGTCAATGGGCGACTTGCCATATGCATATTTCGCGTTGCCCTGAATATATTATTTATTGTTATCCATATTCTGATAGGTGATTGCTCAGTGTAACACAAGTGCCGACATTATCAACAAACAATAAGCACGAAAAGGACAATGCGACACAATATGAGCATGGTAGGTAATTTTTTTCATCTGGGAAAATTGCATTCGTTTCTCAAATTACCCAGAACGATATTTTAATATATTGAAATTCCGTGATTCAATAACAGCGAATTAGATCGTCTCATGCATGCAAGTTGATATTCTATTATTAGTCTTTCCCCGGAGAAATCACTTAAGTAGTAAATTGTAAAAACAGTTGTCACTTGCATTTTTCACCAAAAATATATAATTACCCTGCGCCCAGTTTGAATTGTATCATTTCCGTCTTAAAACCCGAAACCTCGTCCCTTCACAGAGATGTGAACATTACCTATAAGAGAAATTTAATTCATATTAAAAGCTCTTATATAAAAATATACGCCTCTTTCAACAATCTTGTTTCAACAAGAGTCGACCATAACGGAACATTGCTACAAGCTAATAAATAGATAACAACATTCAATATGCCGACTGAGGTACAGTTGTTTGATAGTGTTAATGATATAAACAACAACGAGACAGCAACAACGACAACGACAACGACAACCATTATATATAGTACATGTATTATAAAACGTATTATTAGGACTATAACATAGATCCCGTATACTCACTCCAAGTTACCTGTGTACTAAAATATGAACACTTTTTTTTATTCATTCCATAACAGTTAAGAAACTCTGAAGCAAGTTTTCACTCTCACAATAAACGCTCACTCAGACATCCAAAAATGCTCAAACATCAGAAAATAACCGAATGGGCGGACTCGCTACCCGCCGCAAATAACCTATCCGTCGACTCTCCAGGAGAGAGCTATTTAGCCATTTGCAAACGAGCAGAACATAATAGAATACTTAACAACTTTGCCGCGGCTCTGAAAGACTTGGACGTGGCCATTGCCCTAAAACCTCGAAAGCCACAGGCATGGTCGTTACGTGGAGCAGTCTATCGAATGATGGATCAATACGAAGATGCGCTGTACAACTTGACGATGGCTCTGAGCATTGATCCAAAGAACGACTTTGCGCTTCGTAATCGAGGAGACGTGTATCGACGTATGAATCAGTGCGAACTGGCAATAGCAGATTTAAATGAATCGCTCAAATTACGCTCTGATAATACATTCGCACTGCGTGTGCGAGGAACAGCTTTATGTATACTTAACCGGCATTCGGAAGCTCTCAAAGACCTCGACCGGGCAATAGAGCTCAATCCCTCTGACGCTGCCGCGTTGGCCGTACGTGGAGAAGTATACATGTACATGAACAAATTCGTGGAAGCGTTAGTCGATCTCGACAAGACTCTTGATCTATGTCCGAACGATGCCGCTACTTACAGAGCTCGTGGAAGATTGTATAGAATACTCAATCATCATCAAGAAGCAGTAAGTGATTTTAATATATCGCTGCAGTTGGACCCAGACAACGCCTCGGCGTTGCGGAACCGAGGAGAAGTGTACAGATTACTAGAGCTCTACGACTCTGCATTAGAAGACCTCAATAAATCGCTCGACATCGAACCTAACAATCCAGTAGCCCTAGCGAACCGAGGCGAAGTTTACCGCATGCTGCATCAATTCACAGAGTCGCTTCTCGATCTCAACACTTCCCTGAGTATCAAACCCGACAATCCGTTTGCATTGAGAAGTCGTGGTGCTTTGCTTCGTATGATTGGAGAATACGCTCAGGCGCTTTCGGATCTCGATGCCGCTCTGGAAATAAGACCTGACGATGCCTTTGCTTTGAGAAATCGGGGATCCGTGTTGAGGAAATTAAGGCGGTACAAGGATGCGCAATGTGATTTGAAGAGGTCCTTGCAGATCGAGCCAAATAACGTGTTTGCTCTAAGAGAAAAGCGAAAAAGTCTTCGTCAGTCTACCTTAAGCTCCACTGCATCTTCAAGAGCTATGACTGATACCGCACAGGATTAGTTTATGTGTATTTGGGGTTTGTGTATGGGTTATTTGCGTGGTGTGGGTGTGGAGGGGTTGCGTGATGTGGGGGTGGGTTGTGTGCTTGTTAGAGAGCAAAAATCTCCGAAGAAAAGTGTTTATTATTTATATAATTTACTCCCTCTTCTTCAATGTAAAAAGATTTATTCATATAGTATCTATTATTCTATTAACCATATTCATAATCTTTGCATTTATTTGATGTATCCTTAAAACGCCGCAGTATATCGAGTGTAGAAGTGGCCAGATAAATTTTCAAATGTATAATAAAGCTCCACATTATAAGATGAACCTGTCATAATTATGTAATGATGCAGGGTTACTTTATTAGTATTAATGCATCTACGCCGTGCACAAGAGGAGATAAACTAACTCAATCTGTACAAGTACAATTGTTTTCATCTACCAGTGAAAATATATCCAGCGCACAATGAGAAATGGCGGTCCTTATTTGCATCTACCCCCAGATAAGTATATTTTCTTTTTCCTCCTTGCTTTTCCTCGCTAAGAATTCGTCGTGCAGAAAGATCAGATGAATGCATCGAGAAAAATTTGAATACCAAACAAAGAAAGATTCTTTTTGGTGTCCAGTGGCAACATATGCATGGGACGTCAATAGACTTTTATGGGCGACTTCAAAGTTCTGGACAGCTGATTGCGACGTAATGTGTACATTAACACAATTGTTGGTCCGCTCAAGATGCCTTCCGTCACCTGAACAATGCTAAACGCATGAATATGTGCTATAGTTCAATCTGTAGCCTGCGCCTCCATATTCACAAGTTTGGATGAATGCATGAAATGACTTTATTATTACTACAAAGATTCTCAATTGTTCAAAGTTAATGTTGCAATAAATACTTGGCAAACATATTATAATAATTTTTTTAGAAGCCCCCATCATCTATCTTAGATCTTATTGCTCCAAGGCGCCACACATAACGGGATAAGTAATCTGCTATAATGTCTTTACAATAACTTTTGGTATGATCCACACAAGTAGAACTGAACCAAACATAAACTCTCAACATGTTTCTCAACAATCAGAACTATGACTTCGGAATACTTCGGACGTGCATACATTCTACTCTTTGACTTTCTTACTTGTTTCAGCATGTTTTAATCGTTCCGTCCTCTTTTTCACTATTAGATTGTTCTCGATAGCAAACTCCACTGTCAATCTCTTCTTGTCGTTAAACAATTCAGGGTTGTTGTTTAGGTACCGCAATGCAGCAAGCGCATGCGCGTGTTGTGTAAATTCGACAAATCCATATCCCTTTGAGCGTTGTTTACGACTAGCTGCATCAATCCGATCTTTTGATCTTACTATCTTGGCCTGTTAAAGTACAAAATGTAAAGCACAAACAATATTTGTTATTTCCAAGACAATACGGTATAAACGGGTGGCTCATTTTATAATGTTAGGTAGCGTAGCGTCATAGTCGTGATAACCACATACCTGCTTGACAACAGGTTTATGATCCCATCCTTCTGCCATTTCTTCCGGTTGTAGCGGACTTCGTAGACCCTTCTTCACATCCTCCTTAAATTTCGAAATGCTCCCTTTAGCCAGCTCCTTCAGCTTCTTCTCGTCCACCGATAAGGGCAAATTTCGGATAGACAATCTCGTTTTGGAGATAAAGAGATTAGGATTTTTCTGTAAAATATTTTTCCTCTGTGAATATGAAGCCACAAGTTTTGATATTGTCGCCGGATTCAATCCTGCGGCAGCCGGTGAATCAGGGAATATAACTAATTGACGGAAGAAAAAGAAAAAGAGACTTGAATTACTCTGGGTTTAACTGGTGTAGGCGAATTAATTATTTTCTTGACCGCTTGCCATTTCTTGAACAACGTGTCATCTTCAGTATTCTTATATTTATAATACCAACCTCCTTCTCGCATCAAGTACAAGTTCCTCTTATCCCCTTGTCTCTTTTTAATTCTATTTTTATCCATAATCTTTTTCGCCTCTTCCCTTTCCACTGCTCTTGTTACTGATAAAACTCTCCCATGTAGCGTAAACTTGGTGGCCAAGGAGTCTGATGGATCTGCCGTAAGAATCGACTTGTACCCAAGTTCCCTTTTCGATTTCTTTGATAAAAAGGAAAGTTCTGTGGTGGATATAGAACTATTGAATTTTTCCGCTTCTGCCAAACAAGCGTCAGCGTGTTGTTTCTCCCAAAAACAGACGAAACCCGTTCCACGAGATCGACCCGTCTCATGATCCATTGTTATCAAGCAGTAACGCAGTGGACCGAAAGGGCGAAAACTAGAATCAAACATTGGAGATATTAATGAGTAAAAGAAGCTCGCTAATAAATAGCCATCGGTTCTGTATGCTAAACACAAGTCAACATACATTCTGTGTACATCTTCTTCCGTAGCATCAAATGATAAATTTCTAATAAATAAAGTAGTCCCTTCAGATACGGATGGAGAACCTTTTTTCGTCTTTTCACCATCCTTTTGTAAGTGTTTTGTTGCCACTTTTGTAGATTTTATATCGACATCAGACTGAGAATCGGATGCGCCTTCACTATCAACATTCATATTGTCGCTCTCGTCATCCTCATCCTCATCCTCATCCTCATCCTCTTCGTCTTCGTCTTCTTGCTCATCATCATCATCATCCTCTTCATCGGCATTCTCTGAATCATCTTCTTCCTCTCCACTAAACTCGTTATTTATTCCCTGCTGCTCTTCTTCAGAATCTTCATCTTCATTACTGTCTTTCCCCTCAAACTCTGGTTTACTCTTATTTTTTCTTTTATTATTGTCATCGGTCTCCATATCAATCTTGTCAAACTTCCTCTTTTTTCCTCTATTTCCAATTACAGGTTTTGCTTCATGCTTTCCCACAGCATATTCCAATTTCAATGTCCGTTTTCCCAAAAACTTCACCTTTTTTAACTCGCACATTGCTCTCTCTGCGTCCTCGGCTAAAGCATAGCGAACAAAACCAAAGCCTTTGTTTTGCCCTTGTGGTTTATCGGAATTCTCTTTTTCTTTCACTGTAAAACAGGATCTCACTGGACCGATTTGGGAAAAGAATTCCTCTACCTGGGCGTCAGTTGCGTCATAAGGAATCTTACGCACGAACAGGACGAGTCGCCTCAACACGAGGTTAAAAAATGGTAGAGTTCATTCCATGATGATCGATCCAAGTAACAAAGATTTATCAATAAATAGCGAGAGATAGCAAGCTTACTTGTCTTGCAAATTAGTCATTTCCGTTTATTGCACGCGCGGTGAAAAGAAAGTAGTTTGCCGTTAGAGTAAACTTTTTTCGTATGAAGATCACGAATATGCTGTGTGACCATAAAAGTAAAAAGTGTGAATTATTGCAGTATTGACTATAATACAATTTTCCGTAAAAATATGTTTGACAGGGAATTTACTTGCCAGGTCACGCAGCTTATAATATGTCTATTTGTGGCGGAGAGGTTGAGCTGTAATATAATCCGTGTGATTAAAAAATTTTTTTGACATTCAGTATACATGTAGTGCTTTTCATTCCACGGTCATTCGATATAATGAACAACTTGGCTGAAACTCATTAAATTCTCATAACCTTGTATAAACCTTGAATATATATTGTACTAATCTTGTTAAAAGCTTCCTCACAATGTTCTCACAACCTCGCTAAAATTAATTGTAACAAGGTTGTTACAAGCTAAAATGAATATGAAAACGCAAAATGTGACAAAATGACGTCACTGTGCGACTATTCTAAATTTAAATCGACAAAACTAGTAACCTTTTGTTTATCCTTTCCTCATTCGATTGTTTCAAAAGCTAAATCTTCCAATTGCGCGATTGAAATCCAAGAATTAGAAAATGCTCTCCTACTTTTCACAAGCGGTTATTTCAGAAGTCATCGGAATTTTGTTAGGGGAAGATTTTACCATGTGACTTGCCTCAATTGCGTCAGCATTTCGGCTCGCCATAACAATATATGCAAGATTGGTTTATCGCGTAACTCGCCCTTTGAAGTTTTGTTAAAGGTACACGTATTATTTTGTAATCTCTTATCATTTAGTGGACCTGTAAAGCCTTGTTTAGTTTCGTACTTTCCTGGTGTTGTCACCTAAGTCGATATTTATTAAAAAGCTAACGCGTTTATCCGTGGGCCTGTAAAGCCTTGCTTGGTTTCGTACCTCCCTGGTGTTGTCACCGGATAACTGCACGCTAATTCATTACTATTCAACATAACACTTATTAATCGAATAAAAGTACTAATTATTTGTCTCTTTCTTTTTATCTCTTGCAATCTATTACAATATGGTATGTATTTTTCCGGACTACATATTAAGGTATCGCATGATTATCCTTGAGCGATATTCTTCATTTTTTCTTAGACTGCAATTTTATTTCCTTTTGTAATACAAGCGACACTGACGAATCAACTTCCGAGGATGATGATGATTTGGATTGCAATGTGAGTGTTACCAAAATTCATGTTTACAAATGGAAATAAGGAATTAACCTTTTTTCTCACATTGATACTTTTAGAACGATCATATAAGTAAGAAGGATTCTCCAAAATTGACAAGGTGGCTTTTCGGAAGACTCATGATGCTATCGCGGACACTGTGAAGTTGAAGTTGAGCACAGGAAAAATAGTGGAGGACGTTCTTTTTAAATTTTGCAAAAACAAGGACTATGAACAGTAAGTTTCTCAAAATTTAATTCTTTTTATCCTGACATTCACAATACGGATGATGATTTGATTAGTCATACCCATTCATATATTGTTGACTTTGATGATGAGGATGTCAAAGCGTTGTTTACTGATGAAGAGTGGAATGAACTAACCAAAGATCGAATTGAGGTTCCATCTTTTCCACGCGATATCGCAGAAGAATTAGCAAAATATGGAAGCAAAACGTTAAAAGAGCTACGTACAAAAGTGATGAAATCATATCTCAAGGAAGAAGAAGAATATGATGTCCACAAGCACTATAATCGAGAACGGATCCAAATGACCATGCGAACACTTTGTAATCTGTATGAGAATGTAGATACCCCTTTATATTTAGTAAGGACCCAATACGAAGATTGGTTCACGGTTGCACTTTTTGGAACATGTATCGATTTCTGCATTAGGGATGCACAACTGGGCACTGATGTTAAGAGGTTTTATTTATTTCCGCCAATGTAAACAATGAATTACTATCATTTCATCATTTAACTTATTTATCACTTTTGTAGAACTGACGCACCGTCATTGAGTAGTGCAAACAGAAAGAATCGGCATCGGAAAGCAAATGCAAGAAAGCTCATTGGTCGCAAAATTAATGGGATAATATGCGTAACTAATAGACTTCTCAAAATGGGGGCCATCGAAGGTGCAAGGGCTTTTGCAGGAGTTTCAGATAACAAATACCTTCTTGAGTCATTCAAGATGCCCAAAACACTTCGAGATATTTATACTGATTTAATCAAGGCTGTGAATTTTGACGAGCAAAAAGCAGATAAACTTCAAGTATTTGGAATCTTACACTTTGGGTTGTATATTCAATTCGCAAGATTATAGCGCGCTGGTGGATCGATCTGCATTTTTCGCAAAGATCCCCAATCTTTCTATGTAGATAGCAAATTCTCAAAAAATGGATTAAGTTCCTTTATTAGGCTTCTGAAAAAGATATACCAATTCAAGGTATGAAAAAATTTTATATTGTAGTTATTGTTTTATTTTATTCCATGTTCTAATTATTTTTTACAGAATATGATTAAGAACAATCTAAAATTCTTAACATTCTGAACAATGGTGATGATGATACTGAATCTGAGGACTTACTAAAGGTATTGCTTGAGGATGAACAATACTCTACTCTGCCACTCACGCAAATTAAATTTTTTGCTGAATGTGAAAATAGCCCAAAGGAAAAAAAGAAAAAAAGGAGTAATTCGAAGGAAAAGAATTCCGGGCGAAAAAAAAAAAAGTCGAATCATTCCGTGATTTAACTTTTGTGACAAACCAGTCTTGTAATGTAATACGATATTCTTTAATAAAGTGTTTATCTTTGACACGTATTGCGCAAAGTATAAAGTTTCAGGAATATGATTTTTTAAATGCACATTTAAAGCATTAACATTATTCAATAAGACCCAATTCCCGAAGATGCTCTGGAATAACCACATATTAGTATGTTATTATGTATTGCAATCTTAGTTATAATGTTTTCTGAGTTTCTATTCTGGATTGGCCATGTGTTAGTTATTGATTAAAAATTGGAATTATTTACAATATGCTTTTTTGCAACACGAACAAACGTCAGAGTTAAAACGGTAGTTGGCTGTTGAAAATAAAATTCCGCGCGCTCAATGGGTTAGATAAAATTTAATAATGATAATGATTTATTTATTTGCGTGCTCGAATGTGGTTAAAGCAAAAAATTAATAAGATCCATCATGCGCTTATGTCCTGCTGGCCTTTAGTGTTAGCGTTAAAACCTGTAACCGTTGGCTGCAGAAATTAGAAGCCTTACTCGGCTATCTGGTAATGCCTGAAGGTATTAACAAATCAGACAATCTGTACATAAAATTTATAATTATATGAATAATAAGAATATGAATGAATACCAGAAAGCTCTCCATTTTTAGAACAAGGCTGCCGCTGCGGTTGCTCAGCCAAGGTACCGAGGGAAGGCTTTGCAGAACTGCGCGAGGCTTTTCAAGCTCTTTCCAAGTCCGAACAAGACATTTTCTTAATGGCTCAACTCAGATCCATGGATGGGGGAGCGATCAGTACTAGTCGACGTCTCAAGGACAAGATTCGGGTCAACAAGAGAACTGGAATCGTAATATACCCATTTGCCAAAATACATACCTTAATATGCTTGGTATTGGCCGCAATTATTTTGAAAATATTCGAAAACGTTTGGTAAAAAATGGCCTTCCCGAATACATGGCAATGTAAAAAGAATGCCGCGATGAAAAACCAAGATGACCATTGATAAAAACGTGGCTATACTACTTGAAAAACTTTCTACTAAATTATGCTGAAGTTCACGGATTACCGAGTCCAGTCAGAAATGTCTATAGAGTTACTCAATCAATTATTTTTTGCCGGCGGAAATGAGTTACAAATCTGTTCATCGTAATTTTTTGGCTGGTTTGGAAGAAGAAAGTAATTTGAGAGCTCTCAAGTATAATGCTTTTCGCAAATTATGGCCTCAGCTAACTCCGTATATTCAAATTATGAGTCCTCGAACCGATTTATGCGATATTTGTCAACGCTTGCGGAATGACTCACAATTTAAAGCTCGTAAAGAAGAGGAGGCCCGAGACTTGTTAAAAAAATATAAGGAACATCTAGCCAAAGCCAAATTGGAGCGAAAGTATTATAACACAAATACCAGATTGGCAGAACAACAAAGGCAGCTCGTCAATGAACATCATTCAAAGGCAAGTGGTAAGGTCCAATATTGCAGCGTCGATGTTACAGCTCATTACAGTTATGACCGAGCCCAAAATGTGCATGTGCCTCATTCGTCAACAAATTGGTAAGGTTTATTACCTTAGTGCTCGCAAGGTACACAAGATGAAGCGGTCCGTGAGCAAATTAATTACGTGTTGGACGAAAATAAACTGCTCGGGAAAGGTCCGAATGGCACGCTTAGCCTAGTCTTTGACGGAATAAAGCAATTAAATAAAGGTGAAAAGCACTTGAAGGTTACCTGTGACAATGCCGGTGGACAAAACAAAAACAATACTACTCTTTGGTTTTACCTTGCATTTGGTAATTGCTGGCTATTATCAAAGTATTGAATTAAACTTCATGGTTCCCGGCCATACTAAATTCAAATGTGATGGTAGTCACAGAAAACCGACTAGATTACCCTAAAGCTGAGGTTAGTACAAGGTCAACTCCGATAAGTCGAAGATGTCATTGCAATTTTTCTTCAGATTAGGGAGGAGGTTGTTCTATAAACTGAAATGTATATTCAGGTTTCGTTTATCGGGATTGACCTTGTATACAGATTTAATAGTTTACTTAGTAAGTTCCTCAACAAATATATCGACCACACACATTATTCTTCTATCGATAAAGTGTATAAAGATAGCTGCCAAAAAGAATAGTCGATCCGCACAGGAATTTTGGATTTATACAGTAACGACGCAAAGCATCAAACGTTATATTTGAACCGAGCATCATTCGTCAGTTACAATATAACCGTATATTAATATTGCATTTATTCGATGGCCTTAGCCTTATCACAAAACTGTTGTAATATTGAACCAATATAGACACAAGGTAGACTCAACCTTGTTAGTAGATTGACCCATGGTTGTAAAAATATTGAAGCAAACTTGTCACAATCTAATCGCAAGCTAACATCAATTAGAAAATAAGTAACAACAAATTTAAAGTTCACAAGCTTGCCACAACCTTATCACACAATAATGATACATGGTTATAGCAATCTTGTGACAATGTTGATAGGGCCCTAAAGCTTGGCCCATGCTTGACACAACTTCTATCCAGCATAGTTACAACGTTAAGCCATAATCAAGGGTTTCTGCTAAGAAGATTGTGTTAGCCTAAGATGATATCTTTTTTCCGGAACCAAATAAAAGCAGGCTCGGTATAATGATGAAATCGCGACGTAACGAAATCATGTAAATCACCATTATGCCATCATCATACGGGGAAGACTGTAACAAAACCAAAAATGGCCAATGTGGCCGATTTTCGTTAGCTTTGACTTGGTATTTAGTGTCACGGATACTATAATAATAATGGACTAAATCAGTCATTTTTTAATAAGATAAATGTTTTATCTGCAGTTATCATTATAACAGTAATATATTTCATATACACCGATATAAAACTACTGTCTAATAATTAATAATAATAAAATAATTATTATTAAATTATAATCTATATAATGGGTAGATAAATAAATAACTATTGCTTTCAATTGGCATGCCAAGCAGCAGACTCACCATTCATCTCTAACCAGCTTCAGGGACAGATCCTTCACAAGCAGCTAAGTAACCACCGAATCAGTCCCTCAAACTCGATCCACAGCTCCAC